CGGGGCGGCTCGGCGGCACTGCGGCTCGGCGGCTCGGCGGCAGGCGGCTCGGCGGCTCGGCGGCACTGCGGCTCGGCGGCTCGGCGACTCGGCGACTCAGCTGCTGGGCGGCTCGGTTGCACGGCGGCTTGGTTGGTGGGCGGCCGGGCGGCTTGGCGGCAGTGCGGCTCGGCTCCTCCGGTACTGGGCGGCGCGGCGGTCGGCTACTTGGGCGCGTGCGGCAGGAGGGGAGAGCGGCGGGGCCGCTGCAGACGTAGGGCGGCGGGGCCGTAGCAGTAATGGGGCGGCGGGGCCGTGAAGGTAGGCGGCGGGGCCGGTAAGGTAGGGCGGCGGGGCCGCGAAGTTAGGCGGCAGGGCCGCGAAGGTAGGCGGCAGGGCCGGTAAGGTAGGCGGCGGGGCCGCGAAGGTAGGCGGCGGGGCCGGTAAGGTAGGGCGGCGGGGCCGCGAAGGTAGGCGGCGGGGCCGCGAAGGTAGGCGGCGGGGCCGCGAAGTGGGGCGGCGGGGCCGCAAAGGTAGGTGGCGGGGCCGCGAAGGTTGGTGGCGGCGGGGCCGCACGGGTAGGCGTCGGGGCCGCGAAGGTAGGCGGCGGGGCTGCGAAGGTAGGCGGCGGGGCCGCGACCGTAGGCGGCGGGGCCGCGAAGTGGGGCGGCGGGGCCGCAAAGGTGGGTGGCGGGGCCGCGAAGGTAGGCGGCGGCGGGGCCGTGAAGTGGGGCGGCGGGGCCGCGAAGGTAGGCGGCGGGGCCGCGAAGGTAGGTGGCGGGGCCGCGAAGTAGGGCGGCAGGGCCGCGAAGGGCGGCTCGACACAACCGTAAGGGCAGCGCGACGGGCCGCTAGGGGCGACACGGCGGGTCGTTAAAAAAAAAGGGAGCGCGACTCGAGGCGCCCTTCAATGGGCCCTAGGAACAGTCCCTAGGAGGGGACCTGCTTTGATTCCATGTGAAAATGAGAACGAGAATGAAAATGACTAAGTGAAAGTTGGGTACAAATACAAACCCTAGAAAGCTGTACCCCATATGTGCTACCCCACTATAGCCTACAATAGCTATGTCATATATATCTGACAGACGCAACTACCTGAGGGGTCACAGTGGTCAGTGTGTACAGGCCCGACCCTGGCTGTTGAGTGAAGGTAGCCAGGTGACGACCCGTCTGAGCACACGTGCAGTGTGTCACACGCTCGTAGGCAAGGGTGAACTGGTGAACACCCGCGTCCTGGAGCACAGAACCTGCCACCAAGTTCGTAGAGAACGAGGGGAGGTGAAGACCCGACAGTGTGCCGGACGGGACAGCAGGACAAGGGAGGGCAGTGGAAGAGGTCGCATGGACGAGACCCCCAGAGGGGTCTGCCAGAGAGACTGGAACCGGCCGACTGAGCGGCGTGAGGGAGGTGCTGTCGCGAAAGAAGCAGCGAGAAGCACCAGAGTCAAGTGTGAAGGTGTACAAGGCCTGAGCAGGCGCATTACCAAAGAGAGTAGACTCACCAGCACCCGAAGAAGCAGCCTCATCCGTACCTAGAGCAGGAGACACACTAGTCCCTAGAGAAGCAGCCTCACCAGCACCTAGAGCAGCAGGCTCCATACCTGGGTCATGCGGTACGCACAGGTAACAGGCACGGTCAGCACTAGAACACAATGCATACATGGCAGTGAGAATAGCATCATAGTCAAGAGCAAAGATATCTACCCTCTGCCCAAGCAGCTCCACCCAGTCGAGGAGCTCAGCCTCGTCGCCAAACTCGGTACGCCAGGTGTCGCTCAGACAGGCGAAGCAACGGGACTGTGTGTGACTGAGCGTCCCGCAATTCCGACTAGTTCGAGCACCAGTGCGAATGACGTACGGGCAGCGAACGGTACTCAGAGACGCTCTACTCTGAGCGTACCACTCGTGAAGCTGCCGAGACGTAAGTGTCTTGCGTGGACGCCGCTGCAGCTACAGCTGGCCACTGCCAGACTCTCCCAACTGACCAGCTCCAGGGCGACAGCTACGACGGCTACCGCGACAACCCCAACTAGCGTACCACTCACTAAGCTGCTGGGGCGTGCGAGACTCGCGCGGACGTCGCTGGAGCTGCATCTGGCCACCGCCAGTAGCAGCAGTAGCAGCAGTAACAGCAGTAGTACTAGCAGTAGCAATAGCAGTAGTAGCAGCAGCAACGCCTGCAGGGCAGGCGCGGCAAGCGCGGCAGGCAGGCAGGCTGGCAGGCAGGGAGGCAGGCAGGCGGCTGCGCACGAACAAGGTAGGTGCTCACCAGTGGCGGGAAGGGCAGGCGCACGACGGCGGCGACGGCGGGGCCGCTGCAGCTGCGGCAGAGCAGGGCCGCGTCGGCGGTAGGGCAGGTCCGCGACAGCTGCTGCAGGGCGGGGCCGTGACAGCTGCAGGGCGGGGCCGCAACGGTGGCAGAAGGCTCCGCCGCAGCTGCTGCAGGGCAGAGCCGCGACCGCGACAGGAGGCTCCGCGACAGCTGCTGCTGGGCAGGGCCGCCACGGCGGCAGAAGGCTCCGCGGCAGTTGCTGCTGGGCAGGGCCGCGACTGTGGCAGGGCGCTCCGTGGCAGCTGCTGCAGGAGCGACGGTGGCAGCGGCTGTAGGGCGGCGTCCAGGGGCAGCCGCGAGGAACAGGGGCAGCCGCGGCGCGCGAGGCTGCAGCGCGCTGCGCGTGCTGCAGGCGCGGCGCGCGGGGCTGCAGTGCGACGCGCGGGCAGCGAACGCGGTGCGCGGGGCTACAGCGCGCCATGCGGGCAGCGGGCGCGACGCGCAGGGCTGCAGCGCAACGCGCAGGCAGCGGACGCGACGCGCGGGGCTGCAGGGCGACGCGCGGGCAGCGGGCGCGGCGCGCGGGGCGGCGACCGGGCCTGACGGGCCTGCAGGGGCGGTTCGCGGGCCTGCACGGGCGGGTAGCGGGCCTGACGGGCCTGCAGGGACGGCTGGCGGCCTGACGAGCCTGCAGGGGCGGCGCTCTGGCCTGACGGGTCTGTAGGGGCGGCACTCTGGCCTGACGGGCCTGAAGGGGTGGCTCGCGGGCCTGACGGGCCTGCAGGGGCGGCTAACGGGCCTGACGGGCCTGCAGGGGCGGCGCACGGGCCTTACGAGGCTGTAGGGATGGCGCGCGGGCCTTACGGGCTTGCAGGGGCGGCGCGCTGGCCTAGGGCAGCAGTAGGCAGCGCGAGGGCTGCAGGGCGGCGCGCGCAGTGCAGCACGTCACAAGTCAAGGCAGGCAGGCAGGCAGGCGCAGGACAATAAGTGGGGTAACGTAGTAACCGCAACGGTAGGCGGGCTCGAAAAAAAAACTGTCCTACGGACCTAGTGCTCTGAAACCATGTCAGAATCTAGCAGCAGGAATGATTGAACTAAGAGAGTATGAGGTACAAATATGAAACCCTAATGTGGGCTGTAGCCTGTACCCCATATTAGCTACCCCACTACAGCCTAAGCATATGTAGCATATATATCATTTGAGAGCAAGATCTATTCACCGGATTACCAGCTTGAACCTGCCCAAAGATGTGAGCAAGTCAGAGGAGTGTATCACTCTGGCCTTGGCAAAGCTCTGCGGATTGAGCTGAAGTGAAAGTGAATGGACGGCGTGGCTGGAATTTTTGTTGTTGTGATGTGAGCTTGGCTACGGCATTGCATCCTTGGGCCCTGGGCTCACACACAGAAAAATGGTGCCTAGCTGAAAAATGTGCCAGCCAGAGCTTGTCGGTGTGGTGGGCTGGAATATGAAAACTGGTTTAGAACTCTGGCTATTCTGTAAAATCAAAGTTCTCAAATCCATGACATACCCACTAATGCTTGCAGATTCTGACTATGTATCAATTCCATAATTAGGTAAATATTCTCTCAAGGGACATGGGTGTGAGTTGTGTGATCTCGTTGAAACTGCACATTTCAAGGAATCAGGTGAACAATGTTGGGGGAGATGGAGCAGAAGGAAGGGAACGAATCTAGATGCATGTTACCTGTTGAATCAGATGGAAGCCAAAACATGTACAGTCATTGTCCCTTCCCACCCCAGTAATGCGCAAGGCAGACGCTTAGAAGCACATGAGCCATGAAGCGAGTCTTCCTTTCGCAGCATGGGAAGTGAAAGGGTGCCTCTGCCATAGTCTTACCTACACCCGTACTCACCACACTGTGCACCACTCTTTCACCTCAGGTGCTGTCCTTGCTGTTTGTGTCACTCACTGTTCCATGCCAGTGTTAGGCTTGTGTACACCTTGCCACTCATCATGCCACTGTCCAGCAATTCCAAATGCCCCAGCAATTCCCCCATGCATCAGCAATTCCCCCATGCATCAGCAATTCCCCCATGCATCAGCAATTCCCCCATGCATCAGCAATGCCGCCATGCATCAGCAATTCCCCCATGCATCAGCAGTTCCCCTATGCATCAGCAATTCCCCCATGCATCAGCAATTCCCCCATGCATCAGCAATTCCCCCATGCATCAGCGATTCCCCCATGCATCAGCAATTCCCCCATGCATCAGCAATTCCTCCATGCATCAGCAATGCCGCCATGCATCAGCAATTCCCCCATGCATCCGCACTTCCCCCATGCTGATGCAATTCCCCCATGCATCAGCAATTCCCCCATGCATCAGCAATTCCCCAATGCATCAGCAATGCCGCCATGCATCAGCAATTTCCCCATGCATCAGCAGTTCCCCCATGCATCAGCAATTCCCCCATGCATCAGCAATTCCCCCATGCATCAGCAATTCCCCCATGCATCAGCAATTCCCCCATGCATCAGCAATTCCGCCATGCATCAGCGATTCCCCCATGCATCAGCAACCCAACTCAAGCCCATGCCTCAGCCCATCCCTCAGCAATTCCCCTTGCCTCAACATTTTTCCATGCCTCAGCAACTCAGCTATTCCCCGTGCCATACCCCACTACAGTTGCCCTTCTTTGCAAGCTCACTCATATTTTCCACTCACCTTGCCACTGCGGCTGGCACCCTCCTTGCCACTCGTCCTGCCGGGGCATGTGAGCTTGTGTCAGGGCCAGTGCGCCTTTTGGCACTCTCTGCTGCAATACGCCACCTTGCCACACCCACCGCAGCTCCTCAGCTTCACACCACCACCCTCCATCCTTCCACACCCCGCAGCACTGCACCTACTCTCCCTGCTAGCATCAAGAGCAGAGGCCTCTGCACATGCAGCTGTATCTGCAGTGCCTATTGCAGCACCAGTAGTTGGGGTGACATGGGGAGAAGAAGCAGCATAGGTAGACATGGTAGCACAGGTGTGTACGGGTGGGTGGGTAGACAAGACAGCAGTGTTTGGAGCAGCAGTTGTTGGAGCAGCAAGGGAGGAAGAGGCAGAAGCAGTTGTGCTTGGCGCTGCACCAGTGATGTTCACACCAGGATGGACGGAAGGGGCAGCAGGGGAGGCAGGGCAGTAGCACGGCTCCCCCAACAGCATCTCTCGCAGACATGCCAGCAGATTGACCCCCCCTGGCCATGCCTTTAGGTAAGGTGGCAGCTCCGCCTTCTTCCCCTTTCCCTCATTGCCCTTGCCAGTGCTGCTACTCGCCACAGCACCACCCCGGCGGAGTTGCACCCTCTTTCGGCGCATCTTGTCCACACCTGTGCTGACCAGATCAGCAATCCTCGTGTTCATGTCCACCCTCTCCTGCTGCCCCTCACTGCCCATGCACACATCACTCAGACCTGAACCTGAGTCCTCCGATTCAACATCGGCATCCCGCAACGAGACACGCAGGCTGGATGGCCAAGCATTCTGGGCTGTGAAGCACCACGACTCCAACTCCTCCTGCACCTCTCCATCGTCCTCCTCTTCCTCCTCCTCCCCTCCGTTTCCCATCCCTCTCCGAGCCTTCCCTTTCTTCCTCCCCGTCGCAACCTTCTTCTTCACTCGAATCGCGTCTCCCTCCAACAGCTCTTTGCCCTCAAACTGTTCCAAATCCAGAATGGAGGCCGGCCACTTGAGGGCGACGAGCAGCAGAAAGGTAACGCGCTCCTTCTCAATCTCACCGCGCAGAATTGCAAGGTTGGTAGGTGGTGCCGGGCGTGAGGGAAACGGCGGCAACCCCATGTCCTTCACGAGCGTGTGGAACCCAAAGGATTGCGGCGGGAAGACGGACAAGAAGCGGTTGAAGAGAACGTAGAGGGGGCGGTAGGCATACTTGGCAATGAGGGCGATGGATGGGAGGAGGAGGTAGTAGTCGCGGAAGCACTGGACACAGTGGGTACATGCCGGTGGAGTCACGACCTGGCCGACCCCCTCCACAAGAGATTCTGCATCCGCCACGCAACGGACAATGGGAAGCTTCCTTCTCGGAGGCGGCCGTATAACAGCCATGCCGAATGGATGTGGAATGCCCTTTTGCTCCGTCACTCCGCCAATCCCTCTGTCTGTGTGGCCCCAACTGCCGTCACTCGCTTGGCCAGGTGCCTTGGCTCCTCTCACCTTCCGCCTCGTGTGCTTCCTCCCAGACTTTGATGCTACTTCTGTCACCCTCTGCTCACTCTCCACTCCCGTTCCACTCTCCTCCGAGATACCCAGCAGAAAGAATCTTGCATTGGGATCATCTGGAAGCTTCAAAGCAGCTTCATCGCCCTGTGGCCATTCCTCCCACTCTACAGCAAAATCAGCATCATCAAGAGGCTTGGGGATGGCACCAAGCCTCAGCAGCAGGCTCGGGAGGTCTCGAAAGGGATGGGGCATTTCCAGGATCTTATTCTGTGGCTTACTCTTGCAGCATCGGTCTACAAAGACAACATCTGAGCCGTAGATTCGAACCCACTGTAAGATGCGGGCAACTCGATAAGTGAAGGCTGAAAAAACCGGATTTGTGTTTACGGGTACTAGCCCAGGGTTGTAGCTGGCGCAGGTGCCATCCACTCGTGTACAAGGCCGGTTTTCATCTGAAGCAGCAGCACTGAAAGCAGATGCATTCCTCATCACTGATGCTTCTGCTGCTCTGGTCCTGTTTGCTCCTGCCTTACTCGTGTTTGCTCCTGCCCCACTCGTGTTTGCTCCTGCCCCACTCGTGTTTGCTTCTTCCCGAATCGTGTTTGATACTGCCCCGGTAGTGCTTGCTGCTGCTCGGATTTTTTTTGCTGCTTCCCCGCTCCTGTTTGCTGCTGCCCCACTCGTGTTTGCTGCTGCCCCACTCGTGTTGGCTGCTGCCCCACTCGTGTTTGCTGCTGCCCCACTCGTGTTTGCTGCTGCCCCATCTCCTCCTGTTCCTCCTGAACGCACTTTTCTGCCCTTTCCACCTACCCCTCTTCTCAACCTGCTTCTAGCCTCCTGAATTGCTGCCTCTTCCACCCTCACCTTATTGGCATTGTTCCCATCCAATATGTACATACACGCCTCAGCACAGCTCTCTGGCTTAGACAGCTCTGTGGCAAACGCAAGAGCGAAATCCGTGGCGCCTACTCCACTCACATACATGCCCTTGGGAGCACCATTCACCTGCACATCACCTCCATTGTTGCTGCCCTCCTCACTGCACTGGCTGCCCTCCTCACTGCACTGGCTGCCCTCCTCACTGCACTGGTTGCTCTCCTCACTGCACTGGCTGCCCTCCTCACTGCACTGGCTGCCCTCCTCATTGCACTGGCTGCCCTCATCACTGCACTGACTGCCCTCCTCACTGCACTGGCTGCCCTCCTCACTGCACTGGCTGCCCTCCTCACTGCACTGGCTGCCCTCCTCACTGCACTGGCTGCCCTCCTCACTGCACTGGCTGCCCTCCTCACTGCACTGGCTGCCCTCCTCACTTCACTGGCTGCCCTCCTCACTGCACTGGCTGCCCTCCTCACTGCACTGGCTGCCCTCCTCACTGCACTGGCTGCCCTCCTCACTGCACTGGCTGCCCTCCTCACTGCACTGGCTGCATCTAAACTCCCTCCCTTCCCCCCCTCCATGCTCTAGAATCCAAGCCATGCCATCCACATACCTCTCCCACACATGCCCCTTCAGATTCTCCCTCCACTGCCCATTCTTCCCTCGTCTGCCACCCTCCCCAGCAGCTCCATTAGCCGCCCCGCTGCTGTGTCTCTCTCCCCCTTTGCTCGCCTCGCTGCTATGCTTTGGTTCCCCTCCGTCCCTCCCACCACCAGCATCAACCTGCGAGGCAATCAACCTTGCCAGGGCGGCCACCTGCTCCTCCTCTTTTTCCATGCCCCCACCCCTATCCATCATCTCGCCATCCGCCCGTCCCTCCTCTCCCTGCGCTTTCTCTGCAGCCTCCCCCCCAGTCCCCCCCTCCTCCCAGTGTGTCTTCTCAGCACCCTCCCCCCCAGCTGCCCCCCTCCCCTTCTCCTCTCCATGCGCCTTCTCCAGCCCGCCTGACAGCACATGCTGCACGAAGAACCCAAACCCTTCCTGCAGGTCAGCACCCTCCTTAACCCCCAGCACCTGCACCAGCACAGACGCAATGCAGTCGTTCTCCACCTGCCTCCCCGCCCCGAACTGGGCCATGATAGCCGGATAAACTGAGGTCTCTCCACGCATACACAACCTCTTTAGATTCACAACGCGCGGGCACCTCGCTACAAGCGTGAGGAAGGCAGCGAAGCTCACAGCACGGCGGTAGGCAGCCCAGCGAGTCGCCCACGTTCCACTAGCAGCGGCAGCAAGGGCAGCAGCTGTCGCAGGAGAGGTTGCAGCTGTAGCAGCATCTGTAGCGGCCAGGATGGCAGGCAGGCGGGATCTGATCCTCCCCAGGTCCATGAGCACGCCCACGCGAGGCTCAGCCATCCACTCGAGAATCATCGCCTCGGCACAGCGAATGGGCGCCACGACACACTTGACGCCGAACAACTGCTGGGGAGGCCACTCCTCCAGAGGCTCCAACGGCCTCAAGGGCACTCTAGCGGAGTCCTCAACCATGGCGCTGGATGGTCGCTCCTGGGGAGCAAGGGGGATGGAGTCTGGCAGCTGCCTCTGAAGGTCGCAACGGAAGTGTCTCAGGCGGACCATGCCGAGTGCGCGCTGTGCGCGGTAGCTCACTGCGCGGTCGAAGCAGCACTCGCACTCTCGCCAGTCCCACGCGCCTCTCACGTCCACGTAATGCACCATGTCTGCGCGCGACAGCACCTGAACCTTCTCGGGTCCTTTCCAAGCCCCTTGGAACGGCAGTGCTCTCCTGCCGCCCCTTGCTTGTCGTCGCATTGCCGTGCCTGGTTCGCCCTCGCTGCAGTGCCTGGTTCGCCCTCGCTGCCGTGCCTGGTTCGCCCTCGCTGCCGTGGCTGGTTCGCCCTCGCTGCCGTGCCTGGTTCACCCTCGCTGCCGTGCCTGGTTCGCCCTCGCTGCCGTGCCTGGTTCACCCTCGCTGCCGTGCCTGGTTCGCCCTCGCTGCCGTGGCAAAGCCACTCGGCCGTCATCTTCAATATGTGTATCCATTCCAAAAGCTGCTCGTGGCCACTGCTGCTCGTGCTCTCCTCCTCAACCCGGGTCGCGCACGGATGCACACTCACAGCGGCAGATGCAGCAGGAGGCACATCCAATGGGGCCTTCGCACGCGTATCTTCATTGTTGCCTGATCCTCCCCCTTGTACACTCCCGGCATAAAGCATTTTGACGGTACACGGCGGTTTTCAAGCTTTACTTGCTGCACTTAATTTGCGGCGGATTAAGTACACCCCCTGGCCAAAAGCTCAAATGTGGAGCTTATGCGTCTCATTTGCAAAGACAGACTTCCATCGCCTGCCTCACACCTCTTTTCCCCTGCGGCTGAATCTCGTATGGGGAGCAGTGGTTTGACGAATCGGACTGAGCTACACTATCGATGTATAGCAACTCTCCTGGAATGACAGCAACAAGAGTGTCGTGAAACAAACAATCAGCAAGATTTTCCATGAGACAGTCAGTCTCTCGTTCAATTGTCGAGCTCGCGGTGCACCCTGTAAATTGTTGGGCTGGGGTGCCCTAGGATCTTTGTAGAGTTAAAGTCTGAGTAGGATGATGTAATAGCGGAAGCGTTGAATAAAAGGTCTTTGAACCACTTTGCGCTAGTATGTGAGGGCAAAGTAAGTTGATTAAAACAAGCAAATACAAAGCTTTATATATGAGTACAAGGAATACGAATAGATATATTTAAACTGTTTTTCTGTTGCGATTCGATACAGTGCGACTCGGGCAACTGCTCGATGTCAAGTCAGTTGTATGTCCTTGCTGTCGCGCTGTATTTGTCAAGTCAAAGGTTGCTGACCTTTGACCTTCTCGTAACCTCCAGCAGTTACCCTAACCTCCGAGGGTTGACTCGCGATGCTTCGATTCGGACTGCTTCGCTTGTGTCCTGAGTTTCGACACGATAGAGGCGCTTAAGACTTATTGTTCCCAACACTCCCCTTCGCTTCTGGAGTGTCGCTGATGGTGACGTGGCTTTGTCCAGTCAGCAGCATGCAGTACTCGAACTTTTGTTTTCCGAGCTTCTTGGTCAAGTAGTCGGCTGCCATCTCGGATGTGGGACAGTAGGATAGTTCGAGTTTCCCTTTCTCGATCTTGTCTTTCACGAAGAAGTATCGCAGAGTGATATGCTTTGTTCTGTTCGCGAATCCGCTCTTGTTGGCGATGCGAATCGCAGATTGGTTGTCGCAGAACTTGGTGAAGTTGGGTAACTCAGCTAACTTTGCTTCTTCCAGCAGCTCGCGAAGGTAGAGTCCTTCCTTGGTGGCTGAGCAGAGGGCGATATATTCTGCTTCAGCTGAAGATAGAGCAATTAGTTCCTGCTTGCTCGACTGCCAGGAGATAGGTCCGATAGGCTCGAGACGATAGATGTAGCCAGTGCGAGAGCGCCTGTTATTTGAATCGCCGGCATGATCAGCATCGACGTAGCCGATTATTTTCGTTGACGTAGCTTCACTCTTGTAGTAAGTCAGGCCGATCGTCGGAGTGCTCACGAAGTAGTGTAGTGCCCGGTCGAGCTTCGCCAGGTGCTCTGCTTAAGGTCTCTTGAGGTAGGTGGCGAGCTGACTTGCGGAGTAGGACAGACCTGGGCGGCAGGTCACGGATGCGAAGAGGAGGCAGCCCAGCTTCCTCTGGTAGTCGCGTATTCCGACAGTTTTGAGTGGAGCAGTATTTCCTTTATCGTTTCCTGCCGTGTAGCAGTATGGCGTGGCGATAGTGGTAGGTGTGAGCGAGAAGCGCTTGGCGATAGTGTCGGCATATTTCTCGGCGCTGAGGTAGATAGCATTTTCTTCTTCGCGGATGTTGAGTCCGAGGTACTGAGTGATGGTAGAGGAAACCGTGAGCGTGAGGTCCTTCTGCAGCTCCCCTTCGAACCAGGTAGTGATGTCGTCTGTGGAGCCAATGTAGAGCAGATCGTCGACGTAGACGATCAGTAGGATACAGTCTGCGTCTTTGGTGAGTCAATACATCCCTTGGTCGTGAGGCAGTTGGCGGAATCCGATGCGAGTGAGACGGGTGTGTAGGTGTGAAGTCGAGGACGAAGACATTGTTCTTCAAAATCGCCTTTCTGATGTAGAGACCGCCTTTCCCGTGGTACAGCTTAAACTCCTGGGTGGTGCTGTCGGCTTCCAAGTGGATGCCTTTCGCCATCAACTGGCTGACGCTCAGTAAGTTGTAGCCGAGTCCTTCCGCGATAAGTACCTTTGACATGTGCAAGATAACGTTTGTCTCTCGCAACTGAAGTTGTACTACTCCTTGTCGTCGTGTGCGCAATATCTGGTTGTTAGCGACCGTGATGACTACTTCTCGCTGGAGTCGATGTTCGCGTTGAACGAAGCGTCCTGAGGAGCACATATGTTGTCCGCAGCAACTGTCCAAGAACCAAGTATCTTGTCCGGACGGTTCGCTTTGAGCGATGGCGGCGTACGTCGGGTTCGGCTGGAGTGACTCGCGGCGAGGCGTGCTATTGTCGAGTTCTTCTTCCGGTGAGTAGTGAGGTGGTGACTCGGTTGTGCAGGAGTCTGTTATCTTCACCATGCAATTGACGATGCTTCTTGCTCCTTGTGCAGATTGTCCAATTGAAGTCGTTGAAGCTTGGATTGTCGGATTTGCTTGCGTCGAGGCGACTTGGGAGCTTGAAGGCCGAAGTTGTCGCTGTGGTGTCGTCGACTGCTGACGAGACGGGCATTGCGTACGAGGATGACCCGAGGTCTTGCAGATGTGGCAGAACGGAGGTACTGTCTTCACTTGTTGTTGTTGCCGATTGTTGTTGTTGTTGTATCGTCGCTGAGTGTGAAACGCAAATTCTGGTGCTAACGTTTTCTTCTTGTGTCGTTCTTCTTGCAGGTCCATGTCCTGCTGCTCGGCGTGAATTTCGGCGCAGAGTGCTGCTTCGGAGATTCTCCTGTGTGCTCGTAGTATGGCGCGAGTGGAGCGCCAGTGGGGGCCAAGCCCGCCGATGACTACCGTGACGAAGGCGTCTTCTGAGATTGACCCTCCGCATCGAAGAAGCTTGTCGCGCAGTTCGCGGCAGCGACTGATATAAGCCATGCCTTTCTCGCCTGGTTTCATTTCAATTGTTGTCATCTGCGCCATTAACCGGCTTTGGTTTACACTGTCTGTTGCTTGATACAGGCTCTTCAGGTGGTTGTACGCGAGCTCCGCGGAGTTGCCGTAGCCTCGGTAAGTCCTGATGTTCTGCTGCTGGGTCGGGGTAATGTTTCTCAATAGTATCGTGTACGCCATCATTGATTGATAGGTGTACTGCTGCTTCTCATATTGCGTGCCGTTTGTTGGATATGGCAGGGACCCGTCGAAGAAGCCGAGAATCTGTGCTCCTTCCATCATCAGCTCGAACTCGAACGACCAGGTGAAGAAATCTTTTCCGTCGAAAGGCTTTGTCGTTTGAAGCTTAAGGACGTGCGCGAATTGCGATAGGACATGAAGGAGAAAAATTTCTCCATCATACTTGGATCGAAGCCCGCGGGCGTTTCCGTAGACCCAGCTGCTGGTCTCGTGGTTGTCCCTTCCTCTGTCTGTAGGCCAGAGAGAGGAGGTGGAGTCGGAGTAGTGCCTGGAGAACCGTTGGAGGAGCTCCTCTCCTGTCTAGCTGACATGTCTTCTTTGTATTGAGTATTAAAAGAAAATGACTTTGAACTCTCATCCGCTCTCATACCATGTTGGGCTGGGGTGCCCTAGGATCTATGTAGAGTTTAAAGTCTGAGTAGGATGATGTAATAGCGGAAGTGTTGAATAAAAGGTCTTTGAACCACCTTGCGCTAGTATGTGAGGGCAAAGTAAGTTGATTAAAACAAGCAAATACAAAGCTTTATATATGAGTACAAGGAATACGAATAGATATATTTAAACTGTTTTTCTGTTGCGATTCGATACAGTGCGACTCGGGCAACTGCTTGATGTCGAGTCAGTTGTATATCCTTGCTGTCGCGCTGTATTTGTCAAGTCAAAGGTCGCTGACCTTTGACCTTCTCGTAACCTCCAGCAGTTACCCTAACCTCCGAGGGTTGACTCGCGATGCTTCGATTTGGACTGCTTCGCTTGTGTCCCGAGTTTCGACACGACAGAGGCGCTTAAGACTTATTGTTCCCAACATAAATTATGTCCGACCGAAGCTGTTTCATGTGACGGGGATGATGGAAGGCAATGGGCAATGTGACGTAACACATTCTTCTCTGCGCATCGTGCGGCGCGGACAATTCAAAAGCGGGGAGTACTTTTTGCTTGTCAGAAATGAAGCCGTTTGGCGAAGTGGTTCCTAGTAGCTGGTTTCGGCGAATAGGGGACAAGTTTCGTGCGACATCCATTTGACACGGCGGAATGATGTCGCGAAAGCTGAGATGCCTAGAGTGTGTGCCTCATTATTTCCGTTATGCCATCAGACAAAGTTCATAGTTCAGCTCAGCAAGCTCTCAAGGTTGTCACGGCAATATAATTCCATTGGCTAATTATGAACTTGTCAACGAGCCTCTCAAGGAACAAAAACTCCCCCCAACCAAGGCCAGCATCGCTTTTACATAAAAACCGATCAAGAATGCTGGCATGGCAGCAACCTCGACAAGGTATTCTGTGCTCATTGCTCAGGCCTCTGACAGCTCAGGCATCTAATGCCTTGACAGCTTCGCTGCTGTCATCCCAGAGGCACCCTTGCACCATGTGCCCTTCGCTGCTGGTCGCAGATATCCCTGCTCCTGATGACTCTCCTCCTGACTCGCCTGGTTTGAAGACAGGGGAGAGGATGGCAAGCAAACAGACAACACTGCAGACAACACTGACAAGGCATCAGATCCGCCGTGTTGTCCACCGCCGCCAGCAGATCTGGTCTGTCAATCGCAGACGAGCTTCAAGCATTGACAATTTGGGCCGGGGTTTTGAACTGTAAGGCCAACTAGTAGTATACTGTTTACATTTATAGGCACCTCAGAGCACCTCCGCTACGGTATTATATAACACAAGGCCTTTCACACCTTGCAGGGTTTACACCGCTACTCACTCTTGAACATGCAGGTGAATCAAAAGCCCTTGTGCTCCTCCTCCTTGCTGGAGCACCTGCCCCACCCCGCCCTCTTCCCCCTCTCTCTCCCATGCCTCTCATTTCCCCTGTTCCTTTGGCCGGCATGTGAGCTTGTGGGAGGGCCAGGCAGCCTTCTGGCACGCTTTGCTGCAGTACGCCTCACTGCCACACCGCCTACACATCTTCAGCTCCACGCCATCCCACTCCACACAGCTGCACCTCGGCCCCTGGCACACGCGCCGGTACCCTGATTTCAGTCGCTCTGCCCGGGTATCTACACCCGATGCATCTGTCCAGAAAGTGCCTGCCGGGGTTCCAGGTTCTTCGCTTTCTGCTGCGCTGCCACCTGCTTTGTTCCCTGCTGCTTGATTTGCCGCTTCCATCTTCCCTTTCTCCAAATCAGTAGCAGCAGCAGCAGCAGCAGCAGCAGAATGACACCCTTTCCATGGCTCTCCCAGCAGCATTGCTTTCAGGCAGGCCAGCAGATTCACTCCTCCCACCCATTTCTTCGCATAAACCAGCCCCTCCTCCTCCTTTTCCTCCCCTCCCCCTTCCTCCTCGTCTTCACTGCACCTATGTTTCGTCCTTTTCCTGCGGCCCATGCACTTATCCCGAAGCTCTCCCATCCAGTTCCTCCTGTCCCCAGGCCACGCAGCCTTGGCAGCATGCCGCCACATCCGAACCTCCTCCCACATCTCACTATCCAGTTGCTTCCACTTTCCCAACCCACCCTTCTCCTGCCCCGCGCCCTCCTCCTCTACAAGCCGAGCAAACCGCCCTGGATTCGGCTCCTCCTCCTTGGCCCACCTGCTCGCTATTATAGAGCAAGCATGCATGAACATCGCCATTTCCTGTTCCTCGGCAAACCCTTCCAGCCGTCCTCTCACGTGCCTCCAGTTCACCGTCTCCTCTTGTCCCGACGGCATGAAAAGGCCGAGAAGGCTGTACGCCTCTCTGGTTTGGTCGGGAGGGAAGAGGAAGAGGAAGCAGTGAATGAGGGTGGAGACAGGGCGATAGGCGAAGGAGGCGAAGAGGGCGACGAGGTTGATGGCGCCAGCGTGCTTGACATGGCACTTCCAGCACCGCGTGCACCTGGGAGCCTTCCAATCTGCTGCCATGGCTTCAACCAGAAACTCGACGTCGGCGAGTGTGCGAATGACTGGACGGCTCTTTGAAGCTGCTGCTGCCGATGCTGCTGCTGTCAATGCTGCTGCTGCTGCTCTGGCACTTGTGGGATTTTTCCAGTCCACAGTAACCCCATACTTCTCTTCAAGGGTTTTCTTATAATCAATCCTCCCTTGCACGTCATCAGGAAGCTTTAAAGCAGCTTCATCACCCGCAGGGAACTCCTCCCACTCCCAAGAAAATCCCTGCCAAACCAAGGGTTCCGGCATGGTGCCGGACCTGATCAGCAGGCTCGGGAGATTCCGAAATGGGTGGCAGAGGTTTGGGAGATTCTCTTTTGGCTTGACGCAGGTTCGGAGTGCGCATGCCTTTGGAGATTGCAGGTTCGGGCCGTAGGTTCGGACCCACATAAGGATGCGGCTCAACCTCCACGCCAGCACAGTCACGAGCGTGTTACTGACTGCGGTTACCGCCTCCCAGCCGTCCTTCACTGTACCTCTCACACCAATCTCAACTCCCCGGCTCTTTCAGCACCCATGCCTACTTTCTTCCTGGCAGCCTCAGTCGCAGAATTCTCCAGCTTCACTCTGTACTCGTTATTAGCATCTGTGAAGAACACCCGGCAAGCATCCTCGGAGAATTGGGGCTTGGAGAGAATTGCAGCAACAGCAAGGGCGAAACCAGTGGCGTCAATGCCACTCACAAACATGCCCTTGGGAATACCGCTGCTGATGAAATTTTTGGAGATGCGTATACTCAACGAACCGTTGGGATCACTGTTGATGCTGGAAGCGGCTTTGGGGGCCCTCATCTCATCCCGTCCATCATGCGCAAGAAGACAAGCCATACCGCCCACATACCTGTCCCACACAGGACCCTCCAGCCCCTGACTCCACTCCCCACTGTTGCCCGCACCACCATCACCTTTCCCCTCCCGTCTTCCACCGTTTCTCCCAGCCTCCCGCTTCTCCCCATTCCTCCCTGCTCTACCCTCACTCTCTCTGTGCGCCTCCGCACCACCAGGCAGCAGCGGCAGCACATGGGCTTTAAAACCATCGTTTATCTCCTCTCCTCCCTTCATCCCCAGCACCTGCACCAGCACCGTCGCCAAACAATCTTCCTCTTCCTGCCTGTGGGCCCCTAGCTCCTCCACAGTAGGAGCGAAGAGGCCTGTAAGGGAGGCAAGCTGAGCCCTCCATTAAATCACAAAGCGAGAAGAATTCGCTACAAGCACAAGGAAGGCGCAGAGGGACACAGTGCGACGGTAGGAGGCCCAGCAGCTGCTGCAGTGCAGCAGCACGACCAGGGGACCGAGGCAGGGGGTGTGTGCGAGGGGAGAGCGGAGGAGGACGAGGACGTGGCAGCATTTGGGTCAGGATCGGCAGGATCACCTGTAGCAGCAATGATTGCAGGCAGGCGGGATCTGATCCTCCCCAGGTCCATGAGCACGCCCACACGAGGCTCAGCCATCCACTCGAGAAGCATCTCCTCGGCACAAAGGTGGGGGGCGAGGTCACATGTGTACCCACCACCGCCTCCTGTTGCTCCCATCTCTGCTGCTCCCTTCCTCTTCCCTGCCCGTACTTTTGCTCCCTGTCCTGGTGCGTTTTCTCCTCTACCACCTCCCAGGGACCTACCCCACTCCCTGCCTGTCTGGTGTTGCCAGGGAAATGGAATCCGGCAGTTGCTGAATTAAATCCTCGCGGAAGTCTTTCCGGCTCGAAATGCCAAGAGCCAATCTGCCCTGGGTGCCTAGCACCCTGTGGAAGCAGCAGGAGCAGAGAGATTCAGACTTGGACCAGCGAGAACCAGATGAGCTGACTCCGGCAGCCTCCTCTTCCTCACTGCTGCTCTCACTCTCCTCCTCTTCCTCCTCATCACTGCTACCCTCCCTATTCTCCTCATCGCTTCCACTCGCTCTCTCCTCCTCGTCACTCCCACTCTCGCTCTCCTGCTCGTCACTGCTGTTCTCTACCTCCTCCTCATCGCTGCTATGGCTCATATTATCCCAGATGGAGTAGTCAGCGGGGAGAGTAGCAGCAGCAGACGGTGCACTGGCTCCAGCACCCATGGCTGCAGGTTCCGTCGCAGTAACCGAGATGGGCCGTGCTATAACGAGGTGTTACTGAAACGGGCGCTGATTGTATCACTGTGAGGTGATGTGCGAGCTGGAGGTGATTTTCTAGTCTTCTAAAAAATTACAAGCTCTGGTTGCGATAGGAGATATGTGAGGTGAAGCGGGGCCTGGTGCCAGCAGAAGCGGACGCTGCTGACGTGGCACGCAGCGATTACAGTCTAGCCGCGATTGGTGATTGGATAGACTGACGAAACAAGTCCGCACATTTCTTCACCCGCCCTGCATTGTTGCTCTGGGTGGGCAAAGACAATGTGGATGTGATTTCGAATTTCAACACATTTTCCGAATTCAGTCTACTACCCGAAATTGGTCGCTGCCTAGGCCTGGCAAGCGTCCGACACTAACCGCACAGATTAGGTATTTAAAGACCCTAAAATTAGGAAACGACTCCTTGCCTCGCCATGCTATGTGCGAAGGCAGTGCTTGAATCTCCAATGAGGGCGTGTAGCATCGACTGAAAATACCGTCGAAACAGCTGACCGTCAGGAGTTCTGTAAGGTAACCGCTCTCGCAGCACTTCGCAACGCTGTTTATCTGGTAGAGATATTGCGAGGCTTGTTCCCGAACTTCCAGTAATTTGAAAGCGTTACACGCGTTGGTATCTGTAAGGATTTACCAATCCTTACTGAGGCACTCGTTAGCGAGGTTATCCCGAGGGTCACGCGACCAAAATGTCTTGCCTATTTCGTCGCACCGAACGCAACCATCACCGAGCCATCCCATCCCGAACCCCCGCTCAGCTAGCTTGTCCCCTATTTGGGCCTCCCTACTTCATTGTTTCTCCATTCAGTAATTCAGAAATTTCCATTCTCGTTATTCGTTTTACTGCGCACTCTGCAAGTTGATTCATAACAGTCTCTCTAATTCGTTATAAGACAGCTTCTGTTTCAAGCTCAAAGCAATGTGTGAGATTTAGGGTTAAAATCTTGGAAAACCAATGTGTTGAGACACGTAGATTCATCACATTAGATGTATTGAAACATCTATATTTTTCTTATGCCAGTGAAATGTAAGATTCTCAACTAAACTTATTCACCGGTAAGCTGTTTTTATTCTCGGTCTCAACAAAATTTTAAAGCTTGAGTCCTTTGATGGATTGTAACAGCAAAAACCGAACTCCATAAGACGAATAACATGTACGTATGTACAGAAGAGTTCGTATATGTTTAAAATGTTGTAGGTGCAGCAACAATAAATGTAATGTAGCAATGAGTAGCAAATCCATGGTTGACCTGGCAGGCTCGAAGGGTAAAGATGGGTGACACATTTGTAGCAGCTGAGCCGTAGAATTGTAAAAGTTGGTACAACAGCTGTAGCAGGTGAGCCAAAAAGCTGAAACGGCTGGATACTACAGCTGTAGCAGCCGTTTGGTTGCCTCAGCCCTGCATAGAAGAGGGGGCAGAGAGGGCGCAAGGGGAGGGAGAGATGGAGCAGGAGAGGGAGAGGGGGGAGAAAAGGAGAGAGATAGAGCCAATGGGGACGAAAGGGGTAAGTAATGTGCGTGTGCGGGACATCAACCGCAGATTGCTTTATTGAAGGTGCCTCAAACACCAGGCGCCGTACAAGGGCAATGTGCATGGAACAAGGGCAATGTGCATGGAACAAGGGCAATGTGCATGGAACAAGGGCAATGTGCATGGAACAAGGGCAATGTGCATGGGACAAGGGCAATGTGCATGGAACAAAGGCACTGTGCATGGAAAAAGGGCAATGTGCATGGAACAAGGGCAATGTGCATGGAACAACGCATGAGCTGTCGTGCCGGCATGCATGCTCTTGCACGGCCAACAAAATCTAAATTGGCTAAACTCTAAAACATGGTAAGGCCAATCGACCCACCTGCACCCACCTGCACCCAACTGCAAGCCATGGCAATACACATGCACCCACCTGCAAGGCGTAACAAGACCATGCACCCACCTGCAAGGCGTAACAAGACCATGCACCCACCTGCAAGGCGTAACAAGACCATGCACCCACCTGCAAGGCGTAACAAGACCATGCACCCACCTGCACGCCCGTGCAATGTCGTCCCGATCCAGCAGCCCCACCAGCAGCAAATCACTCCCCCTCTCCTCCCTCCCCTCCCCATCCTCCAATCGCATCGTCTCCCTTCCAACCTCATCCATCCCCTCTCTCCTCCCCCCTCTCTCCACTCCACGCCCATCCTCTCCCTCCTCATTCCCCTCCTGCCCCCTCTCTCCCCCTCTCCCCTCTCCTCTCCCCTCCCCTCTCCCCCTCGCCACCTGAAGCACCACGGGAAGCTGCCGGATGCCGCGGGCAGTGAGTCTCCTTCTAGCCTCGTAGAGGGAGGCGGCTGGGGAGATGGTCTCTAGCTGCTGCCACGGCGTGCATAGCACAGACACTGGTAGACCTTCCACCGCCCCCTTTACTGTCACGTTGGCAGTAGTCACGCTAGCTGCAATACCACCATCAGCTGCACCGGTGCCACTTGTGTCACCTTCCCCACCACTCCCATCTCTCTCTCCACTGCTTTCGTCTCCTGCCCCCTTCCTCCCTCCCCCCCCTGCTTCCCCTCTCAACCTTCTCCCTCCTTGCCCTCTCCTCCCACCCCTCCCTCCCCGCCCTGCTCCTCTTCTCTCTGCAGCAACCCTCCTCTCCACCTCCTGCTGCACGTCCACCAGTGTAAGCAGCCCCTCCAACCGGCCCCCATCCCCCACCACCACACAGCACCACTGCCGGCTCGCCACCATCGCTGCCACAGCTTCCCCCACCGTGCTCGGCCTGTACTCCACCTCCCCCACACCACTTGCATCTTGACCTGACTCAGGATTTGCTACCCCCACCGCCCTCACCCTATTTTCCGCCTCCCCACCAACCCTTCCCTGTGCCCTATAACCCGTCTCCCCATCACGCCTTCCCTGTGAGCTGTACTCGCGCGGCTGCACCAGCAGCAGCGGCACGGCGGCAACGGAGGGGCTGGAGGCGGGGCGCATGGCTTGGGAGACGGCCAGATCGCGCTGCACCTGCTCCTCCAGCAGCACTCCGTCACGCACGTCCAGCGATGCCGAGTCGTCTGCGAAGTCCGTGTAGTCCCCCGGGGAGGTGATGGCGAGGGGGAGAGCAGCAGACGAGAGGAGCGAGGAGGACGAGGTGGGTCTGGCTTCTAAAGAGGATGGTGGTTGTGACGAGGATGTTGATTGCTGCTCTGCTGTCAGTGCAAGCGTGGGGGCTGCTGCTGCTGCTGATACCGGGACTGCTGCGGCTGCTGCAGCTGGTGCTGTTGGTGATGGGGATGATGGTGGTGTGGTGGCAGGAGCAGCGATCCAAGCGGCGATGCCAACAGCGGCCATGAGGGGCAGAATAATACGGTAGTCGCGAGTGAGTTCAAAGAGGAGAAGGACTGATGTGAGTGGCACCTGGCACACTCCGGCTAGCGTTGCTGCCATGCCCACCTGAGAAGAGAGAGCGAGGGGGAGGAGAGAGGAGGCAGGTAGACAAGGAGAGAGAAAAGTGTTGGTGCAACCCCTATGGTTTGCACTCGGCTTGTTGTCCTTGCGCGTGCATGTGTATTTGCAAAGAATGATATGAGAGCATAACATAATACCTATCTCATGGTCATAATAGTGTGTGAATGATGAGTGATGTAGTCGAATGTGTACGGTGAGTCAATAGCTAATTTTCATTTGTCGCGTGTCACGTCGTCGTTTGTGTGCCGTGTGAGATTTCTGTAATTACCTTGTGTCGAACATTCGGCGTGTCGCAGGTGTGTGCAGCAAGCCTTGAAGACTCACAGCCTTGGTTGTAGGTTTCAAGTGGTTTTTGAGCTTGTAAAAAATGATAACATTAAGATAATGGAAATAATTATATTGCATTGTGTAGTGTAACATAGTTCTTGGTGTAGACTTTTGTGGAGGGTGGTTTCCACGTCTATCGAGGTTGGGGACTATGTGTCACTGTTCACTTTCCTGGACTTCGTCTCTTGGGGTTTGTAGAGGCTGTGAGACATTTCCAACTCTCTATTGTGCTCTAAAACTGTAGTTGCTGCTAAACTGCCGTTCACTCAAACTACTCTTATGTCGCCAGTTCGTTATCAAATCAAGAGATACAACTAGCAAATTCTAGGCGTCGACGTTAAGACGCTCCTGATGCAATTCATAGCACCTCATTTAGTGCTATGTCCAAAACTCTATCCATGTTCGAAGTCGCTCTGTTAAAATCCGTCTGTGGACTGTATCTTTCGTTTCAGATACATTTGAGTCTTTACTATAACAGAGAGAAAAGAGAGGGAGAGAGCGAGAGAGAGAGAGGATTAGCCTCTCCCCTTCTATCCCTCTGCCCTCTGCTTTCTGCCCTCTGCCATGACTACTTAAGGCCACGGCGGCCTCTCCATCTCTCATTCTTTCAGTTAGTGCTGAAAATTTTGGGCTTTTGTTCGTTCGAGAGAGCGAGAGAGAGAGAGGATTAGCCTCTCCCCTTCTACCCTCTGCCCTCTGCTTTCTGCCCTCTGCCATGACTACTTAAGGCCACAGCGGCCTCTCCATCTCTCATTCTTTCAGTTAGTGCTGAAAATTTTGGCTTTTTGTTCGTTCGAGAGAGCGAGAGAGAGAGAGGATTAGCCTCTCCCCTTCTACCCTCTGCCCTCTGCTTTCTGCCCTCTGCCATGACTACTTAAGGCCACGGCGGCCTCTCCATCTCTCATTCTTTCAGTTAGTGCTGAAAATTTTGGCGCTTCGGCCGCCGGCGCTCGCGTGGCCGCGCGTTAGGGATGGCAAGGGGAAACAACAAGCAATGGTAGCTAAGGCAACCGATACAAACACAGCAAGCATAGACACTTAGCAAGTAGAGGATGGAACGGGTCTACTACGCGCAAGGGGGGAGCGCCTACATGCAGTCCGTCTCTACCGCAGCGAGCATTCCGCTCGTGTTCAACCACAACTGGCGGACCACAGACACGGTGGTGCCTACAACGTCAACAGAAGTACCAAGGCCTGCTACAAGCGTCCTCAGAGCCAGGGCCGAGTGAGCCAGCTGGCTGGCCGAGGCTGCTCCCGGCGAGGGCACTACCTGCAGTGGCGTGACGAGCGCGAATAGCGCTGACGCCAGCCGCATGACAATCTGCTCGCGGTTTCTGAGAGAACCTGCTCGGAGGGCTCACCTGGCATGGAGTCAAATGACTCCTGGAGAATCCGCTCAAGGCTCTAAGGGACGCCGCCAGCGACCATAGGCGGGCGAGGGTCGCCGTGGGAACTTCCTTCATCGGCGGAAGCAACGCATACACGCGGGCACGGTGAGACGACACGGCGAGATCACGCGGAGCAGGAAGAGGACGCGGCGGAGCAAACAGAGCCCACGGCGGCCCGCCACCAGCACCTACGAAGCCCGTCCCTGCAGGCAGCGGCTGCTCCGAACGCGCCGGGGATCCAAAGGGATTGTGGGGCAGGAGCGCGGAGAGAGGGACGACGGGAGCAGCGCGAGGAGTTGATGGTGATGCCGACGCAGCACGCGAGCGACGAAGCTCCTTCTCCACGTTATCAAGCCTATCCAGAAGACGGCGCTCCATTGCGGACGGCGCTAGACCCGCTTTTCCGCCGTGACAGTCACCTCCCCGTCGCCCACGACGCGCACGCCCACGACGCGCATGCCCACTTGCGCTCGAGCGCACAGGCGACTGCGAGCGAGATGGGCCCTGCTGACGCTGGCGGCCAGGAAAACGGTCCCCGCGACGAGGGGAGTAGAGCCGTTGGCGCTTTGCAGGAGGGGGCGAACGCGGAGCTGGGGGCCGACGCCTAGACGTCTGGCGGGCAGGCGACCGCTGGCGAGATGAACGAGGAGGGGGTGAACGATGACGATACGAACGGCGGTCACGGGATCGGCTTCGCGACGCCACGCGACGAGGCGAACGAGGAGACAGCGGCGAACGGGCCGCATCGTGACGATCATCACGGCGGCTCTCCCGCTTATCGTCGCGAGCTGCCGATGAGCGACGGCGAGGCGAACGCTCCTGGTGCGCCACAGCCTCTGCGCCGGAGCGCAAAGTGGCCCCCGAGCGCAGGGGCTCCGGCGGTGACAAGGACCTGCCCGCGCGCCGGGCCAGCTCGCGCTGCTGGTCCTCGAAGCGGCGGCGGATCTGATCAGCGGACGCCGCTGGAGCAACAGGTACGCTCGCGGCAGGGCGTGCAGGAGGAAGCGGATGGGGAGCGGGATCGCTCTCCGCGGTGCAGTCGCGACCCAGAGCGCCAAGGAAATCCTTCAGCGAGCGCTCAGGGCGCTCCACTGCCACAAGAGGAGCCGACGACGCCGATCTCCCAGGCGCAACAAGCGGCACCTGTGGCAGCCACTCCGAGGAGCGGACGGGGAAGCACGCGGGGGAGAGGCGGGGGTCGAGGAGCGCGCGGAGGACAGCGGAGTGCAGGCCAAGCGGTGATGGGGAATCCGCGCCAACTACTGAGCCCAGTCTGGTTGGGGGAGCCGGCGGAACGAGTCACGCGCCAGTCGTTTGCTAGACGCGGGGGGAGAGGGGGAACGACAGCGCAAGCAATGAGAATCGGTGATACAAACACAGAAGGGAGCGGCGACGAATATGTACCGTCAGATCTGAGGCAACCCGACAACCTCGACTCACCTCTCGCGGAAGCGGCGGAGGACCAGGCGCAGCAGCAGGAGAGGGATTCTAGACGCCGACAGAACCGCAGACCCCAACCCCCTCCGGACCAAGCCCTGTCAGCGTCCCAGCTGACATCGAGGGAGGATCTCTTTGAGATCGCGACGAGCTGGGACTCTTCAACCCTGACGTCAACCACCCACCTGCCTATCATCCGCCGCCTACCGCTGCAGATACTAAGCGACTACTCCACCTGTATGCTGACCGCCCTCTTACGGATCTCAAAACTGCCCAACTGCGCGGGAGCGTGGCGGGTCCTCATGTTCCTGCCACGTCTCACCTTACGACTTAGCAGGAGGTCCAGCTCTAAGTGGAAGGTGCTGCGAGAGCAGATGCACCTATTCAGATGTGGCTACTAGAACCAGCTCTACAGTGACTACGTGGGGTCCCTGCACCAAGCTGAGCCACCTCAGCACCAAAACGACCCCCTGGGAATCTGCTCACGTGTGGAGGGGCTGGTGAAACGAGGTAACCTGCGAAAAGCGTTGGTAGCCCTTTCACCCTCGCCAGCGGCCCCTGCGACGATCGCAACATTGCAGCAGTTGGAATTGAAACATCCCCAACCCCAAGTTGAGCTGCCCGACTGGGTCCACACCTACACAACACCCACAGCAATTTTCGAGCACCGCGGAAAGTTTCTCAGATGTCCTTGGGGATTGCCCCAATGGAGTAGGGGCTGGTCCATCCGGGTCAACATTTGAACACTACCGCGACCCAGCCCTAAGCAACATCGAAGTGCTGGGGCACCTACACTCCGCCGTAACACATCTTCTCTCCACGAATCTTTCCACCGAGGTTGCAGCACTACTCTCGCCATCCCGCCTCATCGCCTTTGCGAAACCAGGGGGGGGGGGGTACGCCCTATCGCAATAGGGGAATCCCTACTCCGGTTGGCAGCAAAGGTGGCACTCTCGAAACTGCAAGGAGAAACAAGGCGATTTTTCATACCCCAACAATTCGGTGTGGCAGTCCCAGGCGGAGCTGAGTTCGTTATACATGCAGTCAGAGACCTCACCACTTCACAACCTTCCAGCCTAGTCCTCCAACTCGACATTGAAAACGCTTTCAACTCCGTAGAGAGGAAAGCGTTCTTCAACGCACTCGCCAACACCCCGCTAGCACCGCTCATACCTTTCACCCGCTCCTTCTACGCAACGCCTTCTCAGCTGCTAACCGATCCCCGCTTGAGCGCGACGGCACTTACCAGCGGAAGGGGGGTGAGTCAGGGGACCCCCTCGGACCCCTGCTGTTCGCGGCATCAATCAAGCACCTCAGACGCACAGTAGCAGAGCACCCAGAAGTCACGACCCTAGCATACGCAGATGACATCACCATGGTCGGACCGGCGACGGCAACGCTCGGCGCGCTTAAGTTACTGACGCCGCTGCTCGCCCAGGATGGCCTCACCTGCAACCTCAGAAAATCGTCGGCGTGGTCCACGACGCCGCTTGAGGGTGACGAGCTCCCCGAGGGCCTCCCACTCACCCACGAGGGGGTACGGGTGTTGGGAAGTCCCGTGGGGTCACAGCGCTTCTGCGCTGACCTGGTCCGCAGTACTCTGACAGACGCGGCGGCACCCCTGGGCTCCTTAGCATCCATCCATCCACAGCATGCCCTCCTGCTCCTGTCCCGCTGCATCAGCCGCAGAATCGGCTACTTGCTGCGCACCACCCCAGCGGATGTCCTTCCCCTCTCGGAATGGCACGCGTGGTGCGCCGAACTGCTCAACACCACCCTGACTGCCGCCAGCATCCAACCACCCCGCCGCGAAGCCGAGTTCAATTTTCTCATCCGCCAAGCAACCCTCCCAGTGGCCCTAGGTGGACTGGGCCTCACGGATCCCACAACAGAAGCAGCACCAGCCTACCGGGCCTCAACGACATAGGCACTACGCCTGCTCCGCTCACTCGACCTGCCAGCAACCGCGGCGCTAGGGAGCAACAGCAACGCCCTGCAGCCGTCTGTGGCACACTCAGTCACCATCCAAGACATGGAGGGACGACTGCCGCCGCTGGCGCTGCAATACCTCCGTGAGGAGCAAGAAACCCCGTCCCAAGACCAGCTGCAGCGGGCCCTCTCTCAGGAAGTGCACGCGGCAAAGGCCGACACCCTGACAGAGGAATCACGCTCAATCAGGTCAGCCCCCGAGATGGGCCACACGCTCCGCCTCGTCAGCCTGAGAGTCGAGGGAGCGGGAGCATGGCTGCAAGCCCTACCCCTGACCCCAGACCTCTGCTTCTCACCAGGGCAATTCCGAACAGCCCTGGCCTTCCGCATGGGCATCCGACAGAATGTACCTACCGTGTGCGAGTGTGGAGAGCTCGTGGCCGACTGCAGCCTACCCAACCACCTACTCCGCTGCAGCACAGGCCCGGACAGAACGCGCACACACAATCAGCTGGCCTTTGCCGTGGCAAAAATGGCGAGGGAGGCGCAGCTGGTGGTATACCTGGAGAATGCAATGTACTCACCACCGGATGACCCGAAGAAGGCCGATGTGATGGTGCGTGACCCAGACAGTGGAGAGACCTGGATCACAGACACGACCATCACCGACCCTGTGCTACAGAACCGGGACCCCACAGCCCGCAAACCCCCAGGCTGGGCTGCGAGGGAGGCACAGAGGCGGAAGGAGAGGGACTACTACAGGCACACCGAACACGTGGTGTTCTGCGCCCTGGCCGTCGAGACATACGGGGCAAACACGCCCTTCACGACAGCGTTCCTTAAGCTGCTGGCCACAGCCGCGGCTAGGAACAGGTTCAGGGCCAACCCCTTGGCCAAATCGGCCAAGAAGATGGCCTGCCACTTCAGCCAATGCTGGTCAGTGGCCCTCCAGCGCTCCCAAGCGAATGCCCTGCACACCAAGGCCAGGGCTGGGATCGAGGCAGCGCACCCCCAGATGGCAGCGGACCCCTGGCCACTGCACCTGGGGGACATCCTCCACACGCTGGAGGGCTAGAGGGTCACGCAGGGGGGGGGGTGGGGGAAGAGGGGTGAGCTAAGGGGCTTAAGGGAAGGAGGTTATCATGGATTGCTCTGCATGTTTTTGTACCCCTGCTGAATCAATACAAAGGACCGTTTGAGAAGGAGAAGGCGGCCATGAGGGGCAGGATGATGCGGTAGTCACGGGTGAGCTCAAAGAGGAGCATGATTCATGAGAGTGGGTGGGACCATCCACACTCCTGCTGATGTTGTTGCCATGCCATGCTGCTCCACGCCATGCTGAGACATGCAGCACCAAGAGACCATCCCATCACTGCATAGGCTTGTGGAGCACCCACCAACTTACCATTTGGATTCCCTGCAGGAGAGTTTTGAGGTGCCTTTAAACAAGAGGCGCCATACTCCGGGTGCATAACCACCAGTCGCCCATACACATGCTCCAAAGGAACGGACCATGGTTGCTATGCAGCTATGCTCAAGCAACAGAACAAGAATCGTATATGCAGCAGTAGACGAATCTGCAACAACCCACAACCCACCATGGCATAGGCTTGAGGAGCGGCGACTTGGATCCACTGCAGGTTGTACTCGGGGTCTACAGCCACCAGCACGTCACTCGCCAGCCGCCCATACGCCTGCCCCAGTGCCGCCCCGATGAACAGTGACGGCGCATAGAAGCCGCCCACCAGGCCCGACCCGCGGCAGATGGCCGTGGCAAGCACCTTGAGGGCGACTAGCTGCAGGAGGAAGTCCACCTGAGGGGGTGGGAGAGAAAGAGTGGAGGTGAAAAACACAAGGCAGTGAGGAGGCAGTGCGGAGGCAGTGAGGAGGCAGTGAGGAGGCAGTGAGGAGGCAGTGAGGAGGCAGTGAGGAGGCAGTGAGGAGGCAGTGAGGAGGCAGTGAGGAAGCAGTGAGGAGGCAGTGAGGAGGCAGTGAGGAGGCAGTGAGGAGGCAGTGAGGAGGCAGTGAGGAGGCAGTGAGGAGGCAGTGAGGAGGCAGTGAGGAGGCAGTGAGGAGGCAGTGAGGAGGCAGTGAGGAGGCAGTGAGGAGGCAGTGAGGAGGCAGTGAGGAGGCAGTGAGGAGGCAGTGAGGAGGCAGTGAGGAGGCAGTGAGGCAAGCCTGATCCGCAGCAGATGGCCATGGCAAGCACCTTGAGGGCGACCAGCTGGAGGAGAAAGTCCACCTGTAGGCGTGGAAAGATGGATGTGGGGAAGTGGGGAGAGGGGAGAAGGGGGAAGACAATGGGCGTCGGGGGCACTGACAACATGTTCTCATGACGAGTGATGGCGTGCTGAAGCGGCGGCCTGCTGGGCCACAACGTTTGAGATGTGTCTGCGCTAGTTCCTTGCAGCATCGTGAATGCAGCCCATGTGAATAGTGTTTCGGAAGATATGGTAGGTTAAAGAGATGAGCTAGTCGAAAACAAATGAGACAAATAGAGAGGTTGATGTCCCAACACATTATAGTGGCACAGATCATCGCACTCCTAACCAACTGTAAAATTGCTCAGCCTCAGGTTTTTTGTGGGGAGGTGCAATAGTATGTTTTAATCATGCCCTCAAAGTTTCAAATTTATTACAACAGCATATATCGTATGACGACAGAAGGAGTAAGTACAGTTATGCCTTTCCAGAATGGCGTAAAGTGTGTATGCCATATCATATAGTTTGTTATGTAACATGGCAATTTTGAGTTCCCAAGATTAACGCAACATTTTAAGAGTGCCTTATGTAATGCTACACTCACCTCTTCCCTAACGTCAATGAAACTACATAGTTTCAGACAAGCTAACGTTTTCACTCACCACGTATAGCTCACACCTTTCATTGAGGCATACTGCTGTCCATAAGAAACCATTAGAAACCAAACACCTAAAGCTAACTGCTGTCCATTTTTCAGCGCTCTACTAAGTCGGAACTCATCGTGACGGCGTTATGGATAGATGCAATTTCAACTTGTCAGTTTGGGTTTAGGTGGTTTCATGGGCATCCGTGACCCCTAAGTGATGGGCATCCGTGACCCCTAAGTGATGGGCATCCGTGACCCCTAAGTGATGGGCATCCGTGACCCCTAAGTGGACTTTCAATCACGGATGAGAGAAAGAGAAGAGAGGAGCGAGGAGGTTAGTGATGTGAGGAAGGTGTTGTACCTGAGGTGCACTGGCAAGCGGTCTAGAGCCGAGGAGGTCGTTGATGTTCTGGAAGCCCCAGTAGAGCACCTCGGGGTAGGCCAGGGAGATCACTCCCACTGACAAGCCCCCCAGGGCCGGCAGCAGTGCAGGAGGCAGCGGGGAGAGCAGCAGCAGGCGGTCAAAGGCGTCTGTGGCAAGGCGGGCTGAACGGGTGAGCGCGATGGACACCCCCCCACAGCACAGGCCGAGCAGCAGGTAGAGAGGCAGCTCTGGTGGTTGGGGGGGATGGTGGGAAATGGGAGCGGCAGGAGGCAGCGGGGAGAGCAGCAGCAGGCGGTCAAAGGCGTGTGTGGCAAAGCGGGCTGAACGGGTGAGCACGATGGATACCCCCCCTGAAACACAAGCCGAGCAGGAGGTATAGGGGCAGCTCTGTTGGAGGGGGTGGAAGTGGTGGAAAATGGGGGTGGTAGGAGGGAGGTAGATAGGTAATGAACAGCGATGTAAAGATATCCGCAGCAAAGGGAGAGGAGAGGTTGCAATGGTAGCTCTGATGAGCGGTTGGTCAGGATTATGAAGGGGGGGTCCAGCAGCACGAGGGGCAGCGGAGAGAGCAGCAGCAGGTGGTCCAAGGCGTGTGAGGAATATTGAAGACTAGGGGCCAAACTAAAGAATCAAGTTCAGAGCACCTCATTTTGGTATACATCAAAATAAGAACATTCTCGTTTTGTGCTCGTGCTTTCTCTTGGTGTAATTAGTTTCAAGACACTTAGTCTTTCAGGACTGTGTAGCACCGTTCCTCCTCCTTGGGCCTCAGTAGGCCGAGAGTCGTTCACAACTCAAACTTCTTCGTACTTTGTATCTTAAGACGACAGTTGCTACCATACGGTTGTCCGCCCGCACTACTTTTCCATCAGCATTTCTTTATCAAACTAGGTGAACCAATTATTGATCGTAGACCACATCAAGGCGCACAAATCCACTTTGTGGCACAATGCTTGAACTTGGAGTTGCTCTGCGGAAGTGCGTATATGCACTCTTACTTATGTTTGAAATCAAATTGAAGCCTATTGTGACTCTCACAATCCGTCAACGCGAGGTCTGAGCCGCCTTTTGAGGCGACTTTTGAAACCTTCCGAGGTCCGAGCCGAGAATCTGCCGTAATTCTGATGGGCGCATCAATATCATTCTTTCTTTCTAACCTTAGCACTCACCTACTACCTGCCTCAACACCCTCTAACTGCTACCGATTCCAACATACCTTCTGGAAATCTGAACTCGTAGAGCAGAATCTGCACGGCGGGGTCGGAGCCGAGAATCTGCTGTGAGACGACAGCCCAATGACATATATGAATCTCACTCTCTTCCTGCCCCCACACTCGCCTGCTGGTAACCCCAACACCCACCTGCTGGCGAATGGAACTCGTAGAGCGGAATCTGCACGGCGGGGTCGGAGCCAAGGATCTGCTGTGCGACAAGACCGCACTGCTGTTTGAAAATCAGTCTCGTTCTGTGACCCCACCACTCACCTGCTGGCGAACGGAACTCATAAAGGGGAATCTGCACAGCCGGGTCGGAGCCGAGGATCTGCTGTGAGACGACAGCGGCGAGCACCGAGGAGAGCAGCACCATGGCCGTGGTGAGGGAGGCGGGCGCGGAGGACACGGAAGAGCGCAACACCGACTCGAGCGCAAAGAAACAACCCGCTACCGCTGCGTTGAAACCTGTTGTGGAGTACAGGGAGAGGGGAGACAAAGGGGGAAAGGGTGATGGTGGACGAATTAGGTGGTGTGTGCACTTGCAGCCGTGGAAGCGGGTGGTGACTGCCGTGGAAGCGGGTGGTGACTGCCGGGAGTAACAGCAGGGCAGTGGCGAGCACAGAGGAGAGCAGCACCATGGCTGTTGTAAGGTAGGCAGGTGAGGAGGACACGGAGGAGCGCAGCACCGACTCGAGCGCAAAGAAACACCCTGCCTCTGCTGCATTGAAACCTGTTGTGGAGTTTTGAGGGCGGCAGGGACATGGGGGCAGGGCGGAGGCGGAAGAGTTATTGTTTATGCATGCACTAGCGGCTGAGGGTTGGGGGACAGGGAGACAGCAACAGCAGCAGGGCAATTGTGACCTGAGAGGAGAGCAGCACCATCGCCGTGATGAGGAGGGAGGACACGGAGGATCAGAGGACCGACTCGAGTGCAAAGAAACACCCTGCCATGCCACTGCTACGTTGAAACCTGGTGAAAGAGGGATGAGGGGTCGGTTTGGGCTGATTGGGGTAAAGGAGGAGAGAAGCACCATGTTGGTGGAGGGGGGCCAAGAGAGCAGACTGCGGACACACAGCAGACTCACCAGCACACACAGCAGACTCACCAGCACACACAGCAGACTCGCCAGCACACACAGCAGACTCACCAGCACACACAGCAGACTCGCCAGCACGCACAGCAGACTCACCAGCACACACAGCAGACTCACTCGCACAAGAGTCAAGCTGACACTCACAAGACTCGCCAGCATAGATTCCAGCAGCAGAGCCAGCAGCGACAAGAGCAATGGTCCTCTCTCTTCCACCCTGCACCACCTTGCCTGTGCCATTCCCCACACTCGCCCTGATTTCCACACTGGGCCCCTCTGCCCCCAAGCTGTTGCCCATGCCCAGCGTCACCTCCCATCACTCAAACCGTTACCACCACATGCATCAGCCTCGCCAGCACACACAGCAGAGTCACCAGGACACGATTCAAAATGACCATCACACGACTCACCAGCAGAGATACCAGCAGCGGAGCCAGCAGCAACAAGAGCAATGGTCCGCTCTCGTCCCCCCTGCACCACCTTTCCTGCGCCCTTGCCCACGCTCGCCCCGATCTCCACACTCGGCCCCTCCGGCCCCAAGCTGTTGCCCGTGCCCAGCGTCACCGCCGCTGCCATTGCCTTGAGCACCGGGCGCAGCACAGCCACGAGATTCTGAGCAGCTGACTGGGCTGCACGGGAGGCGAAGGAGGTGCTGCTGGTGCTGCTGCTGCCGTCGTCGCTGCTGCTGTCACTGCTGCTGCCACTGCTGCTGCCACGTGGAGGCTGTCTAATGAGCGGTAGGTCCTTGATCTCCGATCGGACGGTGTTGAGGATGCCCACCACCACGCCGCCCGCCAGGGGAACAAAGATGTGCAGGTGCCACGTGGCGGCCACTGACTGGCTGCGCAGCCACGTGGAGCCCCCCTCGGGCGGCACGCCCTGCCACACGGTGTCTCGGATGGCGTGCACCTGATGTTAAGAGGGGGTGGGGGGGGAGGGGGAGAAGCAACGGGCGGGGCGTGATAACCAAGTGGGGTGATGAGTAAGTGGGGTGGCGTAAGTAGGTGGGGTGATAAGCAAGTGCAATAAGTTGGCTTGAGAAGTGGAGCGATCAGTATGATGGCTGATGAATAAGTGGGTTGAGGCGTAGGGGCCGGGGCAATGAGTGAGGCAATTTGAGAGGTGACACGTGGTTTTTGCAATACACTGTGTCCAGTGGCAGCACGGGTGCGAGGCGGACAAACAGGAGCAGGGCAAACGGAGGGAGAAGATGGGAGGCGGGCGCGCAGCAACACTCACAGATTCTTTGAGAAACGACAGGGCCGTGGGGATCCCCAAGGCACATGGCGTCAGCTCGCAGGCATTGTTGCACTCACAACACAACAGTTATAATCACAAGGACGGCTATGACACTCACTGCTTCGTTGAAGAGCGACACAGAGGCGCCAGTGAGGAGCCCCACCACGCACGCCGTGAGCAGAACTGCTGACTCCGGCGGCAGCGCTGCCGCCACCACTCGCCCTGCCCCCCCCACCGCCCGCGCTGCCCTCCCTGCCACCGCATAACCCCACTCCCCCAACGCCAACCCGCCCCCCTCCCCACCTGCTGCCAATCCTGCTGCCGCTAATGCCGGGATTCCTGGCGTCGACTCTACTCCTGGAATGCGTGCTGCGTCTGCTGCTATCAACGGCGCTCCCACATCCTCGTCTCCACTCACCAACTCACTTCCCCCTGTCTCAGATTTAGCACGCTTATCCTCTTTCCCCTTACCCGCCGACCCCCCCTCCCCCTCTGGCTCTGATTCCGCTACAATAGCCGAGCCATCAGCAGATACAGCTGACAGGCGAGACGCAGCTCCAGCCGTCGATCTCCTTCCACTCGCAGCCGTCGATCTCCCGCCCGCCGTGGATGCAATCTTACTAGCTGCAATCGCGGCGGTGGGGTGTACCCGCCACGACGTGGCACAAAAATCTCCCGCAGGCATACCACATGCCGCAACCTCCCGCAAAATTCCCGTGCTTGAGCGCGCATCGAATGAGCTATCACGTGAGCGTGGCGCGCCGCATGAAGAACCAAAGGCAGCTGCAAATCGGATTTGTCTGTCCCGTTGCTTTTCACTCGGCCCGCTCTTCGCGTTATTAGAGCTGAGTACTGCCGATGCTGACGGGCTGGTAACGGCGAGGCATGACGCTGCGGGGGAAGGAGACGCGGAGCGTCGACGGCAAGACTGGGAGTCACGGCGGTGGCGGGAACGAGGGTGCACGCGCAGCACGTGGGGTGGACTAGGGGAGGGATGGGCATTGGCTACTGTCCGCGAGCGGGGAATGAGTGCTGGCGAGCGGACGAGGGGTGATATTTGTGGCGCCTTGAATGCTGAGGGAGCGAGCGAGCGATGCGGATTGACCCGCGACGACAGGGAGGGATGCATCGCGAGCACGCGCCGTGATTGCAAAAGGCGGGAACCGGAAAGGCAATGATTACTACTGTACGGCAAGAATGCACGGCCGTCTAGATCTGCGACGCACGTGGCGCAAAGAGAATATCTCTTTGTTTATTTGGAATACTCGTTTGCGACTGGTCGTGCGCTCTAACAGCTCGTACTATACATGAATCACCAGTCGAAGATAACTTGTTCAACAAGTTCAGAACTACAATTAGTCAGAGTTCACCTGGTCAATAGCACTGATTAGGGCGAACTTCAGTGGGATACTCATTCTCGTGTCGCGAAGGTCCTTCCGTAATCGACTCGGAAGCGCTAGACGACTGTCAGCGAAGCAGCTGTTGGAATCTGCGTTCTTGTCGTGTCCGCCGCCATTACCGAGGCATTAGTCCCAAGGACTTTAGTGCAATGGCTATTTGGGAAAATCGAAATTCACACGGGGGGGGGTTGATTTGCGCTGCCTCCTGAGTCATATACTTAGTGGCTGTTTTGTCACGGTGCAAATCGGTGATGGAAGACGATCTGAAACGCGAAGACTGACCTGTAGATGTACGAGTTGAATCCTTCGTAACAGGTGGCTCAGTATGAACCACCCACACGGCAACTCTGTGTGCGCTCCCACAATTTTCGTATTATGCAATCACGGTACGCCATGTGTCAGGCAGACAACGACTGGAGCAAGTCATTGTCTCGTGAGTGGCAGCATCGTCGACTTGATGCTTCGCGAGATCTCGACCACGCTGGCATGGCGCAGTGCCACAGAGGTGGTTACGTCACTGGGTTTGTCAGCGTACGAAAGGGCTCGTTTGTATTCCTCCAAAAGAGTCAAGCAAAACAAAGATACAAGTAGCATGCTCTATAAACTCTTTAATCTGCTGATTGTTATCTAATTAGGGTTTGAGACCATCATTCCAGATCTGATATATTATCAATCTGAATCTGGTGATAAATTGACGAAAAATCTGTATACATCGTATAAGTCATACAACAAGAATCGTTATTTGTTTCTTCCTTGAATCTCTATTACATAACCAGAATGTTGGATCTCTATTGTCTCGACGGGCACATCACATCAGCCACGAAACCGGTTTTCAAAAGAAGCCTTTTTGTAGAGAGGTTGATCCGAGATTCTACTACCACCTCGAGATTTTTACTCGCAGCGTGCCACGGCTTCTATTCTTTACGTGCTAGGCCGGCGCCGCGGTCGTCGGTATTTCACCACGTGCTTGTTGCAAGGAATCGTCAGATCGCTTCACTTTAGATTCGCATTAATTGTGAAGCAGATACACTACTACTGAGCTCGGCATTACTGGAGAAAATTTGTACCGCTTTCACTGGGTCTGAAATCGTACTTCAGTATTCCTCGTGAAAAGAAATATTCCCATTGGTTCCGTGTTTGACGGTCACCATGGCGGACAAGGTGTTTCCTTACCTCGATCTCGTCATCGGTCCGTCTCCTCTGTTTCTCGCTCCCCTCTCTCCGTCGCTCGCCCTCTTTTTCCGTCACTCGCCCTCCTCTTTCCGTCGCTCGCCCTCTTTTTCCGTCGCTCGCCCTCCTCCTTCCGTTGCTTGCCTTCCGCTCTCCTCTTCCTTCCGTACTCTTCTCGAACCTTCTTGACCGTCCATTCTCCTTCTCTTTCGCCTCTTCTCCTTTCTCCGTGTGCTCACTGTCGATACTTCGCTGTCGAAACTCACGCATTCCCCAGTCCTGCCCCCCGTTCCCTCACCATCTCCCCGCCCCCTCTTCTTCTCCCCGACCCCTCTCCTTCCCCTGCCCACTCTCCTTCCCTCCGCCCCCTCTCATTCCCCCGCCCCCTCTCCTCCCCCCAACCCCTCTCATTTTCCCCGCCCCTTCATCCCCCCACCCCACCTTCGGGACTCTTTTGGATTTCTGCCAGCTCGAGTCATTGCCACGGTGCTCCCTTCGTTGATCCGCCCTCTCCGCAATCCACAATAGCCCACGCCCTTTCGCCCGCCCTATCCCCATCCTCCCCCCACCCCTTTCCCCCTTCTCTTCCCCCTCCATCCAACCCGCATCGCAGCAGCTTCCGCCTTCAAGACTCTCGTCGACCATGCCTCACACTTCCCCATTTCCCCCGCTCGCCCCTCTCCCTCTCTCTTCCCTTCCCCCCGTCCAGCCTTCATCGCGGCCTCCTTCGCCTTTGAGACTCTCCTTGACCTGCGCCAGTTCGCAGCACTACTGCGCCCATCACTTCCCCCCGCCCTGGAGGGCGTGGTGAGCCACGACAAGTTCCTCAAGGCGCGCGCATACAGCCGCCCGTCACTCCCCTCCCCCCTCTGAGCCGCCATCCACCTCACACTTGCACATGCTGCTCCTGCGCCCCCCTCCTCTCCTCCCACTCGCTTCTCTCCCTCCCTCCGCGCTGCCCCCACCCCCCTCTCTCCCCCATCCTCTCTCTCCTCCAGCCTTCATCGCGGCCTCCTTCGCCTTCGAGACTCTCCTCGACCTGCGCCAGTTCGCCGCCCTACTGCGCCCATCGCTCCCCCCCGCGTTGGAGGGCGTGGTGAGCCACGACAAGTTCCTCAAGGCGCGCGCATACAGCCTCGACCGTGCCCGCCTGGGGTTCGTGCGGGGTGCAGTGGACTTCTGTGTGGAGCTGCTGATGCTCAAGCTCTTCGTGCTGCCGTGGCTGTGGGAGGTGAGCTGAGGCTTGCTTTCTCTGTGGTTGCCTGCTCGCTTGGTTGGCGCCTTAAGAACTCAGTTCAGGCATGCTGCTGCTGCGCCCGCTCTCCCACCTCCCCCCCGCGCTGGAGGGCGTGGTGAGCCACGACAAGTTCCTCGAGGCGCGCGCCTACAGCCTCGACCGCGCCCGCCTGGGGTTCGTGCGGGGAGCAGTGGAATACTGTGTCGAGCTGCTGATGCTCAAGCTCTTCGTGCTGCCGTGGCTGTGGGAGGTGAGTGGGTGAGGCGTGCTTGTTGGGTGTTTGCTTGCACATTCGTTGGTTCAGGGTTCGGTCAGCCTTCAGGGGAGGGAGGGTGGGGGGAGCAGTGGACTTCTGTGTTGAGCTGCTGATTTCTCAAGCTTTTCGTGCTGCCGTGGCTGTGGGAGGTGAGCTGGGGCAGGGCAGTGGAAGGCTGTGAAGGCAGGAGTGGGTCATCGTGAATCAAGGGGCAGTAGGAGAAATCCCTGCAGCTACAGGCCTCGACAGGAATTTACGTCTGTCAATAAAATTGTTCCTCCAATCCGCCCCTTCCCCTCTTTTTATCCACAGCTGTGCGCAGCTCGACCACCAGTTACCGTAACTGCTAAGCATCAACGGCTGCGGCAAGACACTCTTTCCCTCCTCTTTCCCTCCTCTTTCCCTCCTCTTTTCCTCCTCTTTTCCTCCTTTCCCCCTCTGTCTGCCTGACCGCTGCAGCTGTGCGCGTTTGAGTACCAGCTACCGTACCTGTGAGGCATCAACGGGCGGAGCAAGATCCAGTAGCACACAGTGCTCCTTTCTTCTTCCTCCTTCCCTCTGTATAACCTGACTGCAGCGCTGTGCGTTGGACTACCAGCTGCCGTGGCTATGGGGTATCAACGGGCACAACGAGATCGAACACTCCATCCTCTTCCTCTTCGCCTCCTCGCTCATCTCCCAGGTGCAATTGTTGTATCCTATCCTTTTGTTAAGTTCTCTTTATTCTCTCATTGCAACTTCCAGGTCCTCAGTCAGAAGTCTCCTACACATATGTAATCTTAGGTCTCAGGTGATTTTTCCTCACTAGGGTGGTTCTATACCCATGACCCACCCACCCACAGCCCTGCAGAACAGCAAAGCAATGCATGCATGGTAGATATTGACCGTGCATGCATGTCATCTGCCATACTGCCTCTCTCTCCCCCGTCCATTCACCCCACAGCACCAGAATGGACCCATCCCTCCTATCCCCCCTGCTATTCTCACCATTGTCCACCTCCTTACCTTGTCTTTGCTTCTGCCAAGCTCGCTCTCATCGTGCCCCCTACCTTGCCCTGTGTCACCACACACACCACCAGGTGGTAGATCTGCCGTTTGCCCTCTTCTCCACCTTTGTCATTGAGCAGAGGCATGGCTTCAACAAGGTCAGTCAGCCATGGGTCAGACAGTCAGTCAGTTAGCCACTCACGGCGGCCCCTGGTCTTGCTGTTTTTAAAGCTCTTTTCAGGGTCTTGTTTAGTTATCTCAAAATCTATGAAGGGTGCGCGAGCTGTTGGGGGCAAACGAACGGACCATGAGTCAGTCAGTCAGTCAGCCACGGGTCAGTCAGTCAGCCACGGGTCAGTCAGTCAGCCACGGGTCAGTCAGTCAGCCACGGGTCAGTCAGTCAGCCACGGGTCAGTCAGTCAGCCACGGGTCAGTCAGTCAGCCACGGGTCAGTCAGTCAGCCACGGGTCAGTCAGTCAGCCACGGGTCAGTCAGTCAGCCACGGGTCAGTCAGTCAGCCACGGGTCAGTCAGTCAGCCACGGGTCAGTCAGTCAGCCATGGGTCAGTCAGCCAAGGTGACTTTGAAGCGTCTTAGAATCTCAAACATGACCTCACAAGATTGTTATGGCATTCGCTTTTAGGGCACATGCCTATCTTTCAGAAGCGTTTGAGGCGCACGATTCTGCCTCCCCTTGTGTGCGGATCGCATCCTTAGCATTTCGCTCATGGTGGTCATCTCGAGTCAAATACGTTTTCCAACCCCCTTGCGTTGTCTCTCTTCCCCCCTCCCCTCACAGCTAACCCTACTGTCTGCTCATGGTTGTCATTGCTAGTCATATTACACTTCTCACCCCGCTTCGTCTCCCCATCCCCTCTCCCCCTCCCCTCCCCCCCCCCACTTCCTCTCTCACCCCACTTCCTCCCCTCGCAGAAAACCCTAGTGGGATTCATCAAGGACCGCATCCTTGGCATTCTACTCATGCTTCCTTCTCGGGATGGTCACTTGGAGTTGAATCACACACCTCCTGCTCTCTTCCCTTCCATTCCCTTCCACCCCACACACACCCCCACCCCCTCTCCCCCTTTCCCCCCCTCGCAGCAAACCCTACCGGGCTTCATCAAGGACCGCATCCTCGGCATTCTGCTCATGGTGGTCATCCCATGGTGGTCATCCCATGGTGGTCATCCCATGGTGGTCATCCCATGGTGGTCATCCCATGGGGGTCATCCCGTGGTGGTTACCTCGACTCAAATCACACTTCCCAATCACCTTGCTTCCGCTCTCTGCCCCTCTCTTCCCCTTCCCTCTCGCAGCAAACCCTACTGGGATTCATCAAGGATCGCATCCTTGGCATTCTGCTCATGGTGGTCATTCTGCCACCCGTGCTGGCAGCGTGCATTCGCATCGTGCAGGTGAGGTGAGGGAAAGGTGAGATGATGTGTAAGGGGCAGGTGAAGGGAAGGTGTAGGATGATAGGTAAGGTGAGGTGAAGAGAAGAGGCGAGTGAGAGGTAAGGTCCAGGTGTGGGGAGAACCTGACAGTGTTGCATTCCCTTCGTGCAGGAGAGTGGGGGAAACGCAATATGAGGGTATGTCGCAGGTGACGGGTACGACCAGTCGCCAAGTGCCACTTGCATGCCCCTTCACTGGGGTGACTGGGGTGCCTCCTTTTCTCTGCCCTCTTCCCATTCACTTGCTCTTGAAATCCTCTCTTTCAGGTCGCCCTTCTCTCCCCATTGCCTCTGTCCTCCACGGGTCATAGGCACCCCAGTGACCGTCTTTCTTTCTCTCTTCATGCTCCCTTGCCCCCTCTTCATGCTCGCCCTCTTCGTCATCCTAACTCTCTCTGTCCGCCTTCCCCTCTCTCCACAGGTGGGGGGCAACCTGGTGGCGGTGTACCTCTGGCTCTTCATGCGCGCCGTCCAGGTGTGGTTTGAGGCGACTCAAAACGTCCCCTGATGCCTGTCCTGTCCCACCCGTCATGCTCCCATTCGTTGCTCCACAGGTGGGGGGCAACCTAGTGGCGGTGTACCTCTGGCTCTTCATGCTTACCTTCTCTCTCTTCATGCTCACCATCTACCCCGTCGCCATCGCCCCACTCTTCAACAAGTTCACACCTGTGAGTATGAGGCACAGACTAGAAGAAACGAGTCTACATGCACACTTACCGAGTCTTCTTGCATGCCTTCTCTCTCTTCAACAAGTTCACACCTGTGAGTCAGCTGCACTATACACACACACACACACACACTGAGCGAGTCTGGTTGGCTGCTGGACTGGATGGATGAGTTTTTTCTTCCTCTTCATTCTCACCATCTACCTGGTCGCCATCACTTCCCTCTTCAATAAGTTCGCCACTGTGAGTAAGCTGCCCTCACCAAGTGACTAAGTCTGCAAGTGCATCATCTCGCTCTTCACGCTCACCATACCCCTTCTCAGAACTCCAACACACCTGTAGCTATGTATGACCCCAAATCTCCAAGAGCCAGAGGTCGACCCTCTGTGGCCCTTGGAGTGTCATGTGATGGTGGCTGATAGGGGTCGGGGCAGTCAAGAGGTCGGGGCAGTGAAGGCAGAATCGCTTGCAGGCTCGTTGAGCCATCCTTTCCGCTTGTCCATCCCCTCTACCCCTCACAACTCTCCCTCCCTTTTTCTGTCTCTCTTTCAGCTTGAAGCCGGGACACTGAGGAGCAAGATAGAGGGTCTTGCAGGTTCACTCAGCTACCCACTCAAAAAGATCTTCGTGATGGACGGCTCACAGCGATCCGCACACAGCAATGTGAGAACGAGCTGTTAAGGTCATCCCATTTCACGTTCCCACCCTCGCTTGCTCCATCTCTCCCCCAGACTTCTCCTCCTTTCAGTAAGTTAGCACACTGTCTACACATAATGATAGGCTCGCTGCAAGCAGCAGCGCTGCTGCAACGCTTTGAAATAAGCTTGTTGCTGCATGGCCAGAATCTGTGCTCTGCTCAACGAACATTCTTCTCGCCCTGCCCTTCTCTCCCATGCCCTCCTTCTTCCTGCCGATCTGCTATATCTCTCAACACACTCCTCCCTTCTGTATCGCCCCTTCTCCTTCTACTCCCTCATCCCTCACCATGCCCCAGGCCTATCTGTACGGCTTCTTCAAGAACAAGCGCATCGTGCTCTATGACACGCTGCTGTCGCATGTGAGTAAGAGGCTACTCATGCCTCAGCCTTGGTTGCAAAACGATGGGGATTGTCTATGACATGTTGCCTCACCCTGTCTCGGTCTACAACACTCGGCTGTCGCATGTGAGACACTCTGCTGTCGCATGTGAGACACTCTGCTGTCGCATGTGAGACACTCTGCTGTCGCATGTGAGACACTCTGCTGTCGCATGTGAGACACTCTGCTGTCGCATGTGAGACACTCTGCTGTCGCATGTGAGACACTCTGCTGTCGCATGTGAGACACTTTGCTGTCACATGTGAGACACTCTGCTGTCGCATGTGAGACACTCTGCTGTCGCATGTGAGACACTCTGCTGTCGCATGTAAGTACAGCATTCCGACTCCATTCCATGCTCTGGTGAAGCACTTCATTCCATTGCACTGCGTTTCTCTCCTCCATGCCAAGTTCTCTTTATCTCCAATCCATCCCGTGCTGCGTTGCATGGCATGGTGTGGCAGTGCAAGGCATGAGCTGAGGAGGAGAAGGATGTGGCAATGGTCGCACATGAGCCGAAGCACTTATGAATTGCATTGCATTGCACCGTGTTGTTCCCTTCCACTCAACTGTACTGAACTCGTACTGCTTTGCACTGACGATGACGAGGAGGTGGTGGGAATGGTCGCACACGACCTGGGTGAATCTCACTGCAATGCATTGACTTGGTTTCTTTCACTCACCCTAACTTCACTGCATTCCTCCACATGCTGTGTTGCATGCTGCATGGCATGGCATGGCATGGCAGTGCAAGGACGACGAGGAGGAGGTGGTGGCAGTGATCGCTCACGAGCTGGGCCACTGGAAGCTGGGCCACACCATCCGATTCTTCCTGCTCTCGCAGGTGACACACATAACTGCCTAACATGCACACACATACTCCAATGATATAAACGCATGTGCGTGTCTCACGCGCTCATACACAAAAGATACTGTCTCATAGGCACACACGAGCTGGACCACTGGAAGCTGGGCCGCACCATCCGATTCTTCCTGCTCTCGCAGGTAATACACACAGCTTCCTAGCATGCACGTGTGTGTGTCACTCCTGGACACATAGAGGATGCCTCCTCATAAGGGCACATGTGCTGGGCCACTGGAAGCTGGGCCGCACCATCCGCTTCTTCGTGCTCACTCAGGTGGTACTGCTGCCTGACATGCACACACACACACACTCCAAGGATATGATCACATGTGTGTGTCTCATGCACTCACACACAGAGAATACCACCTCACCCGCACACATGAGCTGGGGCACTGGAAGCTAGGCCACACCTTCCACTTCTTCCTGCTCTTCCAGATATGCAATGTGACACGTGTGTAGCATGCACGCGTTCCTTCTTCCGATATAAGTTTATATCAACAAATGCAATGGTCTGTGGTGTTTTAGTTGCTAGGGGTTTCAAGCATTGGTAGTGCATGAGCTGGCCCGCACCATTTCCCTTCTTCCATGCATCCCTCCAGGCATTGATGTTCATCCAGTGTTCCGTTTTCATCTTCATGAGATCCCAGCTCGACATCTTCGCATGCTTCCTCCTCTTCCTCCCCACCCCCTTCTCCTCTTCCTCCCCACCCCTCTCACCCCCTTCCTCCTGACTCCCTTCACCGTTCTTCCCTCCAGGCCTTGATGCTCATCCAGTGTTCCGGGTTCATCTTTGTGCGATCGCAGCCCGACATCTTCCGCTCCTTTGGCTTTAAGGAGGAGCCAGTCATCATTGCCATCCTCTTGTTCCAGGTCTGCGCTTCTCTTCCACCTATATTGGAGTGACTTTTGAGAATTCTCAAATTTCACTCCAATATAGCTCGAACCTCCAAAATGCAACTGTGTGTTGAAGGAGCAGCCAGTGGTGAGTGCCATCACGATTCCAGCTCTTCCAGATGTGTCCATCCATTCATTTTTCCCCTTGGACCTGCGTCCGTACATGGTTTACCCAGCGTCCTTGTGCTTCCTTCTCGTGATCTCGTGGCTTCATCCTTAGTTATCTTCTTGAAACTCTCACGCACCTTGTGAAAGCCTCCCTCGCTGTCAGTTTCTTTCCTCGTCCATAGCATGCATGAATCACCCTCCAATCCCCATGTCCCACCAGGACTAGCATCTGTCCACCCTGTCCCTCATTTGCTTGCTTTCGGGCTCAACAGCGTCACCATCGCCACTTCTTTGCTGTCCTCTTCTCACTCTCACTCTTCCTTGCCATCAAGTCTCGATTTCATCATCACTCTCCCCTCCCTTCCCCATCCCCTATCCCCTATTCCCTCCCTTCACCGCCAGCACCTGTCCACGCCTGTCTCTCACCTGCTTGACTTTGGCCTCAACATCATCAGCCGAACATTCGAGTACCAGGTGCTTTGCATTCCGCATCCACACATGCAAGGTTGTTCATTGTCAACTCGTTCGCTCACCCATCTGCCACGAGTAAAGTCAATTGAAAACAGCACACTTTATCATTTCTTTGGACGGCAGTGTCGGTTATGAATCAGTCTCGCATTGTTGTTCTTTCAATTGTTGTCATTCGTGCATGCTCTTTTTTGACATATTCACTTCTTTTCTACATGCTCTTTCCATTGTCCTGTGCACCATCCTCGATTTGACAGGCGGATGCATTTGCAGTGAAGATGGGGTATGCACCGAAGCTGCGATCGGGGCTCATCAAGATGCAGGTGAGTCTATCCTCCTTGCCGCAGGGAAGGCAAGATGACTTTTGAGTCGAGTCAAAAGCCATCTAAATTCTCATTGCCACATACACATGTGTGATGCAACGTAAGTAGAGTGCTGTAATCCGGTTAGCATTACACTACACTCACCCTATCATTTCCCTCCATGCCCTGTTACTTGGGACTAAAGATGCAATTGCGACTTACCAGAGTTTGTCTGTTTCCAGCAGAAATTTGAACATTTTCCCAACAACACACACCCCTGGTGCTCCGGTTAGCACTACACTCACCACATCATTTCCTTCTGTTCCCTGTTATCATGCGTCTCGTTACAACAGGAGGAGAACCTATTAGCAATGGACACGGACCCCTGGTATTCTGCCTACCACTGCCCCTCCTGCCACTCTCACTTTCTGATTCCTCGCCCATCTCCCTGCCATGTACCCAACTGTGTGTCTCGGTGCCCCACAGGAGGAGAACCTATCAGCAGTAAACACGGACCCCTGGTATTCTGCCTACCACTGCCCCTCTTGCCACTCACACTCTCTTATAACTCCCCCATCTCCCTGCCATGTACCCTGCGTCTCTGTGTGTCTATCCACCACAGGAGGAGAGCCTATCAGCGATGAACACGGACCCGTGGTACTCCGCCTACCAGCCCATACTGCCACTCACACCCTTCCATAACTCCCCTGCCTCCCTACCACTTCTTTCCCCGTCTGTGCCTCTCTGTCCCACAGGAGGAGAACCTATCAGCAATGAACACGGACCCGTGGTACTCCGCATACCACCACTCGCACCCGTGCTTGCCCGAACGGCTTTCCACCATTGATGCCGAGGCCAAGAGGGTGGGCAAGAAGGAAGAGTGAGGCTTGCTACACCCACCACCTATAGTGGTGGTGACTCTCAGCTTGCCACCACTCGCACCCGTGCTTGCCTGAAGGAACAGTGAGGGGCCTTGCACTGCCTGGTGGTGATGTCCTTAAGTCTGTTCTCACTTGCATGCAGCTTGCCACCATTGCTGTCAACGCAAAAAGGGTGCGCAAGAAGAAGAGAACATCAGTTCTGGAGACTCGCTGGACGTTTCAGCGTGGTTACGTTCTCAAGCAGTACATCTTGATTTATGTGAATAAATACTTACCAACCTGGCACTCGATCTGAAGCAGGAGTTCCAGCCATCTATGTTACGGTAGCAAGGCCAGGCAGTTTTTGTCGTTACAATTTTCACGAAACAACACCAATTACGGGTACAAAGCACAAGTGATACTAGACAACTACACATTCCACAATGCAGTATCTATTTACAAATGATAGCCCTCCTGACGTCCCCTCTCCCCTGCACCCTTCCCTCTTGCATGGGCTAACTGTACATGCAGCTCTCCTTGCGGATGTGCTTCTAGCTGTGCTTGCTATGGCATCACACTGTCCCTGCACCTGTCTGTGCAACTGACCACGACCCCAATCACCTATCCACCATCCCCACACCTCCCTGCACCAACTCTTTGGCACTGCCCTCACAACAACTCTCCTCATCCGTTTTCCTGCCTCACTCCTTGCTCTCATCCTTCCCACTTCTCTTCCTGCTGGTCCTGCCGGGGGCATGTGAGCTTGTGGGAGGGCCAGTGCACCTTTTGGCACTCTCTGCTGAAATACGCCACCCTGCCACACCCAGAGCAGTTCTTGAACTTCACACCACCGCCCTCCACCATTTTACACCCCGCAGCACCGCACACACAGACCCCACAAGCAACAGGGTCAGAGCCAAGTGTGACAACAGCACTGCAGGCACGGCCTTGCATGTCTGGAACAGCAGCAGCACGGATGCTCTTTGCAGCAGGGTTGGGAGAGACGGCAGGGGTGGCAGCGGGGTTGGGAGGGATGGCAGGCATGGCTGCAGGGTTGGGAGAGGCAGAAGACCAAGAAGACAAAGCAGCAGCAGGGATGGAAAGGGCAGCACAGGAGGCAGGACAGTAGCACGGCTCCCCCAACAGCATCTCACGCAAACATGCCACCAGATTGACCCCCCCTGGCCATGCCTTCAGATAAGCCGGCTCCTCCCCCTTTTTCCCCCTCCCCTTGCTACAGCTGCTGCTGCTGCTGCCACCCCTTCGAATACTGCTGCTGCTGCTGCTACGGCCAGTGCTGCTGCTGCTGCTGCTGCTGCTGCCGCCGGCGCCGCTGTTGCTGCTGGTGCCAGTGCTGCTGCTGCTGCTGCTGCCGCCGCCGCCGCCGCTGCTGCTGCCAGTGCCACTGCTACCCTTGGCAGACCCACGCTGCCCCGGCAGCCCCTCACAGTACCTGGGCGAGGTGGCTGCATCGAGAAGCCACGTGATGTCTGTTACAATATATATTGTGTAGCATGCCAACACATGTGACTGTACACCAATTGTGGTGTACAGTTGGGTTGGGACTACACCCAACTTTGGGTGTACCGTATTCTCCCGGACATAACACCCACCCCTAATAGTACACCCCCGGGTAGCTTGTGCGGGGTGGGTGCTATAGCCGACCTCGTTTGTACTATACCCCCCTTTTGGGGTGATTCTCTATAAGACCCGGGGGGGGGGGTGTTATGGGTGGCAAAATTGCATATCTGTCTTATATTTCACACTGTTAGGGGTGCAATCTAATATTGAAACATAGCACTAGCACCTAGCATCTCATAAACAACAGAAACATCACAACTACGGTAGTTATGGCTTTGCACTACAATGCTTCTTCTGGTGCTATCTAATCCTCATCGTCCCCTGCGACCCATTCCTCACACTCCTCTCCGCCATAGCGGCCGGCGCGCCACCACTCATCATCCTCGTCGTTGAACACTCCCGCCTCCTCGCCTTCTTCAGGCGTGTTCCACTCCTCCTCTTCCGCCGCCGCCGCCGCCTCTGCCGCCTCCTCCTCCTCTGCGGCCACATCCTCCTCTGCCGGCTGCAGCTCCTCGGCCGGCACGGGGGCCTCGGCGTAGAAGGGGTTGACAACGAGCTCGTCGTCAATTAGGTCGTTTACATCGTCAAGCACCTCCACCTCACCCTTGTCCCTCATGTGGGCAAGGATGAGGTGGTCCTCGCTGCCATTGATGGCGGTGGAGATCCCGCAGGTGATAAACACTTTCTTCACGAGATCCTCTGGGACAGCTTCCCAGGACTCGTCGATCCAGCGGAGAACCAAGTCCGCAGGCGGCTTCTTCAGGTTGCCTGTGGGAAGGGAAGGAGTTGAAGAGTCAAGAGTGTGTACTTGCAGTGCGTGCGCTGATGCTAGAACGATGTTGCTGAAACGGAACTCAAGGTTGCAACTCATCTGCGCGAGTGGTTTGGTTGATGCCGTCATCTTCAAACCATGTGCTGTAGTGGGAACGCACCCCGCACTTGAACGCGCGGTTAACTGACACATCGAGCGGCTGCACAAGCGGTGTGCAACCTCCTGGGATGACCGCCCTTGACAACCGAAACATCCGCATCATTTGACCGACGGCCTCTGTCAAGTGGCCACAGTAGGAGTCGAGCACCACCATCGCCTCCCTGCGGCGGCTGGTGGTTTCCCGCAGGGGCTTCAGAAACGGCACTAGCACCTGGGTGATCCAGTCTTGCACCAGAGATTCGTCCATCCACCCCTTCTCTTGTGCACGGACCACCACACCTGCCATCGGCACAACGCGAGAGTCGTGGTAAGTTGCGACGCATGACAGGCAGGAGCACGGTAAAGAACGTTGATGTGTTACACTCACAGGCAGGGATGGGCACTTTTGGGATGGTCTTGCGCTTGATCACGACGTACGGAGGAAGTTTGAGCCCACCCGCCGTTACTGCCAGCATGACAGTAACACGCTCCTTCTCATAGCCTGGACTGCGTACGTGAACCGTATGTGCACCCATCATTTCAATCGTGCGCTCCGCCGGCATCTCCAAGAAGAGCGGAGTCTGGTCCGCGTTTACGATGAGGTCGAGCGGGTAGTCGTGCAGAGTGCGCATCTCGCGCACAAACTCCCAAAATACCTCCACCTTGGCCTTGCAATCTGCAAACAGAGCCACGGCACGTGTAAGTTAAACGGCGAACCCGCAATCACAATCGCACTGTTGCTTTACTTACCGGCAGCCAACTTCTGCCCCATCTTCGTCTTCACCCGCCTCGCCAAGTGCCAGCGCGAGCGGAAACGCGTCGCCCAGCGGAACGATGCGCGCCAGTTCACCGAGGGCATGCGGTGTGTCATGTACTTGGAGCTCCACTGCTAGAGCATGCGGACCGAAACGGCGAGGCCCTTCGCACGGTGGTTGAGGAAGTGGCGGTAGACCGCCCGTTCCATGAACGGGTACTTCGCCTTGCGGCCAAATCCCATGAGGCGACGGCGGTAGCCAGATGCGACGTCCAGCCGCTCCTTCATCTTCCTCCATTCGCGGATCTGGCAAGGCTGCACCTTCGCGAGCTTCGCCAAGGCGCGATTCCCCAGGTACAGCTTCAACCAGTGCAACTTCTCCTTCACGGTGATCGCCTTACGTACTTTCTTCGTCATGCGATGGCGAGGGGATGGTGGCTGAGCGTCCGCGTTGCGCTTCAGCTGACCCTGCGGGCGCTTACGCTCTGAAAAAGTGGGGACAGACACTCGAGGAAGGGGAGGGCGAGAAGCATCGGAGCTACTACTCGGTTCATCCCTGCCAGAAGCACTAACGGGAGGAGACGGCTGGGGCAAGAAGGGGCGAGGCGACGTCCGTGCGCGTGCAGCAGCGGCAGACGGAGTGTTATATGGCCGATGGCGCCTAACTACTGTACTGCTTGAATCAGGAGAGGAAGCCATACTCTACTGCAGATTGGTGTCACCCGCCATGGAAGGAACAAAGAACCCTTGCTAGTGTAGGACGGAGGCGCTCTCACAGCCTGCCGAGCAGTGTTTAGTATCGTGCACTAGAACCACTGTACAAGGAGGAGGAGAGACCCCTTTGAGGCACTGGGACGTGACCAAACCAGTCAAGACGTGACTGGTACATGGACAATAAAGCACCGTGCGCGATTCCGGCCCCAGTGTTTGCATGAACCCTCGCAGCGCAAGGCTGGCTCTGTTTTCACCGAATCAGGTGCCAGAGTTGCCCACTGGAATTTGCCATGTGGCAGATTCCAGTGAAAGGTCACGTTATCCTCGAATACTCGGTTTTGCGGCCCTGACCAACAATCCAATGGTGAAGCCATTGAAGCTGATTTTGTTTCACATTGTTTTCTGCTTAAAAAAAATGTACCATATAATAAGACCCAGATATTATATAGGAATTTCCGTTGAGAGGACCCCCCCCCCCCCTTTTTTCCCTGTGGTTATCATAATACCCTCGGGTGTTATGCCCGGGAGAATACGGTAGTCTTGCACTTTGGGGTGCCAATCCACCCAATTGTGGTGGAGCCCCCAAATGCAACCCACTTGGCTTATGGGTGCCTCACTTCCCACAAGTGAGGTCATCTCAAGCCAAGTGGGCCTAGGATTGCCTCACTTTTACAAAGTGTGGGCAACCCAACCCACTTGACCTATGGTTGCCTCACTCCCCCAAGTGAGGTCAACCCAACCTATGGTCACCTTCACCTTTCTCTTCCAAGCCTCTCTTCCAACTATGTATGCTAGGTTTCTCCTCCAATGAAGTTACTTGTTCAATTTGCTACTTTCACATGGTATAGAGCTACTTGTTCTTACTTTTTTTTTTCCCATGGGCCCACCCCACAGCTACAAACCCTTTCCTACGCGTGGCTCAACTAGCCATCACTAGCATACTCTCGCCGCGACCTACGCCGTCGCCGCCGTTCCCCCCCTCCCGCCGCGATTACGCCTTCCTCGCCTGCGGATTCCACCGCCGCGAGTGTAACGCCGCTGTCCCCTCCTCCCCCCCGCCGCGACCCCCTATCACCGCCTCCCCTTCTCGCCGCCGCGCCTGATTCGGCGCCGCCAGCGCATCCCGCCGCCGCGACGCCTCGTCGCCGCCTGCCCGTCCCTCCGCTGCGACGTCACATCGCCGCGTTCCCGCCGCCGCGCCTGATTCGGCGCCGCCTGCGCATCCTGCCGCCGCGACGCCTCTTTGCCGCCTGCCCGTCCCTCCGCCGTGACGTCTCGTCGCCGCGTTCCCGCCGCCGCGCCTGATTCGGCGCCGCCTGCGCATCCTGCCGCCGCGACACCTCGTTGCCGCCTGCCCGTCCCTCCGCCGCGACGTCTCGTCGCCGCGTTCCCGCCGCCGCGCCTGATTCGGTGCCGCCTGCGCATCCTGCCGCCGCGACACCTCGTCGCCGCCTGCCCGTCCCTCCGCCGCGACGTCTCGTCGCAGCGTTCCCGCCGCCGCGCCTGATTCGGCGCCGCCTGCGCATCCTGCCGCCGCGACGCCTCGTCGCCACCTGCCCGTCCCTCCGCCGCGACGTCTCGTCGCCGCGTTCCCGCCGCCGCGCCTGCTTCGGCGCCGCCTGCGCATCCTGCCGCCGCGACGCCTCGTCCCCGCCTGCCCGTCCCTCCGCCGCAACGTCACGTCGCCGCCTCCCCTTCCCGCCGCCGCGCCTGCTTTGGCGCCGTCTGCCCGTCCCGCCGCCGCGACAGCTCGTCGATCCCTGCCCGTTCCGCCGCCGCGACCTAACATCGCCGCCTGCGCATTCCGCCGCCGCGACTGCTCGTCGTCACCTTCCCCACCCCCCCCCCCCCCCCCCCCCTCCCCTGCTGCAATTTCGCATGGCCGCCTCCCCTCTCACCGCCGCACCTGCTTCCACGTCACCCACACATCTCGCTGCCCCTTCTGCATCGCCACCCGCCCGCAATTTCCCCCGCCGCAACTGCAACATCATCGCCCCGCGACTGCGCCATCCCCGCCCACACTTCCTACCGCCGTGACTGCCCCGTCGCCGCCTGCAGATTCAGCCGCAAATGCACCCTCCCTTCTTCCTCTCCCTACTCCTCTCTCCCCCCTTCCCCCTCCCCCTGCACCCCTCGTTGCCGCGGCCTGCCTGCCGCCGCCGTCCCTCGT